TATAAAACTTATTTTTAACCTTACTACTAACACCTTTTCCCCAGTAACATTGTAACACCAATACCCATAATTGATTCTTTTGGACTACAGGTTTAAGGTCAAAACCTTATTTTCCTTGAAAGCGGTAAATTTCTATTACATTCATCATTTGTAAGTCAGTATTTATTCTTTATGATGTAGTCATTTATCAGATCTGAAGTAAACTTTGCTTGTATGAATGATGCTGTTTAAGCTTTATTACATAATTTATTTTTTATGATATCCATCGTAAGAAATTTTATCTCTTCATGTCACGAACTGTTATATTTTTGTAAATCTAAGCAGTAGCTGTTTAATAAGTCTTCATTTTAACTTTGACCTAGCAGCTAAGATTTGTAGTATTTTTCTAGTAGAACATAGCCGACTACATTTATATAAGATAGACCAACGCTAATACAGCAAGAAAGAAACACTATAGGCATGTACATTTAATTGTTTTATTATTACAAGCTGCATCCTATATCATTATACTATAGCTTGTCAGGATTTAAGGAACCTTTATAATATCTTGCGCTATTATATCGTCCACAGATTTTATAACCTTTATTTGAAAGGATGCGTTCTGTTGAGGTTTACTATTAATCTTTTTTATTCTTTACAGGTATTTAATACTTTAGAGATTAAAGCCTCTTCATATCTTGATCTTGTCAATGTATTATTCCATTCGTTATCTATTCTGAAGTACGATAAAACATGACTTATCTACCAGTATTAAAATGGGTTTCTAGTCAACTCTTATCAACCTTTAAACAAATGCAAAAATGAATAAGACACGCGACTCGAGGAATTTGTGTCACTTTTTTATCTTTATTCTGTGAAATGCCCAGAAAACCAGAAATTGAATACATTTCGTTACCAGCATGTAGAAAAGGCGAAGGAAAAAATGCTCCGGTCCATTTAAAAAAGTCTTTTGAATGTTTACAGAGGCTTGCAAATAATGCTTTGAAGGCCGGCCCGTTTAGCATTGCAAGGGATAAACAGTTTCCTCATGTAGCTCCTTCTGGAGATGTTCATGACTTCCTCAGCTATGCACCGTAGGGTATGCACACGAGAAAAACATCATGCTTAAACTTCACAATTTACGTAGATATTGGTGGCCAGTAAGTCGCCCTATAATAATTACAGCATAACCACAATAAAGGAATATATTCACTTTTGTCGAAATAGGAGGATACAGACGATAAGAACACTAAATATGTACGAAAAGATGGAAAAAGGAACCCAGGTTTGCTTAAGAATAAGACACATGTAAAGAAACCGACTAAGCATTACAAAGATATTGGAATCGTGAAAGACCAGCAACAGCTAGAGTTATTTGCTGAAAACTTTATGTACCTTTGTCTTGGTTACTTCTTTTTTGAAACGGAGAATTATGCAGCTCATGCGGTGGAGTTGTTGCAGATTTTTTTTTTAAATGAAACAACTCGTATGAATCCCAACTTAAACTATGCTCAACTTGTTCGAGGCAGTCAAAACTGTACAAAGATGGGCCGTGGTGAAGGAGTCGTTAGTGGAAGAGCGTAAGAGATGAAAGATATTCAATTGAAGGAACCTAAAATTTTTCTAGTCTTTGTAGAATTGCAAACATGCTGTCATACTTGGATAATTTTTATCTTTATCGTCCAATTGATCGGTACATCAAAGCATGGTTTAATCAATACTTTCAATGGCTTGTTGAAAGCCCCGTGGCTAAACAAGCTGCACAGGCAAAAAATAATGTTCATACCTGGTACATCGCTCATGTTGTTTCTACTATACGCTTTTTGAACCCATCATCTGCAGAGTTAACTCGTCATATTGTAGGCTTTTTCGAAAAGACGCTGTCAGAACAAATAGATATGGCAACAGGAGATCAACCTTCAGAGTCAATAAGAGCGCAGCCGTTACATTATTTGGCGTTCAATATGTATGCCATTTTATATATTGCTGAACTTGCAAAATCTATCGAGTTAGATATGTATCCTGCCAAAAAAGAAATTCTACATATAGCAGCACTTTATATGATCAAGGTCTCCAAAGCAAAACAAAAGATTGATATTACAGAAGCTGCAAGATGTGTTGAAATTATATGGAAAAGAGTATGTGGTAATGACTGCTGTAAAGAATTTATCGATCTTTGTCATAATTGTGAGTTTGCTGAAAGAATAAGCGGTCCGAAGAATGCTGCATGCGAGTGCTGGCTATAAGCCATTAATGAAGCCTTCAATAATAACTGCTGCAGTAGTAAAAATGTCTAAATATATGATTCGTATTCATAAATATGTGGGCAATTTCTTTGTATAAATTTGGACCACATCAAAAAAGTCTTTTTCCTGTCTCTTCATTCCTTGAAAGCATACAGCTATGGAATACACTCTATATATCTTGATACTTTCTTTATGTTGCATCATATTGATCTCTTCAACAGAGTACGGTAGAGGATCTATCATACTTGCCTTTCTAACGTATTTCGTGAATATAGAGCGGCCGCACATGATGCTATATTCAATCTCGAAGCTCAAAAGCGGGAGGCCTACAGTTTCCAAAGTCAAATATCACCCATTATGAGCTTATTGAACAATAATAATAATAATAATAATGGCGTCTTCCCAGTAAACCCTTCAGGAATAGTAGAGGCGTATTCCGCCTTGCCTTCTTCGCTACTCTCTGACAAACCACAAAGCTTGCAGCCATTATTAGTTCCTAATGCTGTTCCATCAACACATACAGATGGAGGGTTTTCGCAACCAATCGGCCTTGAAGAATACCTTTCAGATAGAGATATAGACGTATTGATTTATTGCTTGTCTCATGAAGATCGAATTTTATGTAAAGGCCTTTTTGATGTTATCCACTTGTATTTCACAGAAAAAATGAGCCAAGATCAGGAGCTTGTAGAGTATCTATCCAACTCTAGGGATTATAATGAAGAAAGTACCGCACTGTTTTCTGATTGTCCTTGTATAGCTGATGTAAGGAGATAGTGGTGGCTTGGTGTATACTGTTAATCCTAACAGCTTATTATAGCATACAAGCAATAACCCAAGCGCGCCGAACGACGACTTGGAGGTCGAATATGTAACAGAAGTTGTTACAAAAGTAGTAACAGAAAAGGCTGCCGTGTAACCATCCAATGCTGCATTTGCCCATAGTGATTTATTCAACAATTCCTGTGTTAAGCAAACTGCTTCTAATAAATCAGATATGTCTCTAAAATGCCTTGGTTATGCTTTATATATTTTTTTCTTGTGCACTAGCTTTTTCAGCTGATTTAACAGTTGATCTTGGCGACCGGTCTGGTAGGTCCGTGATCACAGCTCTTAATTATTCCATAGTTTAAGCATTAGTATTTTTTTTTTTCTTTGGAAAGAGTAATGACATTAGCATATACACATCTTCTTTAACGAGATGAATTGTTATTTTTCTTCATTTTTGTCTTAATTTTTTATTATCATACGACGTCTATTGTCATAATGTATTCATATCATCTCCCAGTTGCTATGGTAACCACAATATGGAAGATCTTGTACTCCCTTTTGAGTAAGTACCACATCAATTTGCACCAGATGCAACTTTATTTTTCGGAAGCAGTGTGCACATGAATATTGCGTATGCTTGAGTAAATTACACAATTTCATTATTGTTTCCTTTATTTTTGAAGTAAACAATAATAGATCAACGGTTGTACTATAGTTCTTCTCCTTCTAGTAAATGTTTATTATGCAAATCAGAAAGACAAACGTCTCATTTATGTTTTATCTGACTGAGATTTCTGTACATCTACAATGAATTCTATTTTGTCCATATGCGGTAACAATACCTAACCTTCAAGTTATTTGCGTTACTGTCTTTCAGATTCAAACATTTTTGTAAAGGATGAATAGAAATAAAATAAAAAAATAACAATAAAAAAAAAGATGTATTACTAATTATCCACACAATGCCCGCAGCAACCGAAAAGGGTAGTCGAACAATCACCGCAGCATATCATTTTTTGATGCTCTTTAACATATTTCTTGTTGAACAAAGGCATTAAACCTTGGCTTTTTTTTTTTTTTTGCCCGAGGGACCGCAGTTTTGTAAGTATTCCAGAAAAAGCAATTACATACAGTTTTGGAATAGAATAGCCGATGTGCTGGATATAAATACAAATCAAAGATTAAATTTTTTTTTTTGGTTCTTTTCTTTCAATTAGCCATAAACTATGCTAGACTATCGTTGTACACTATCCGTAAGATTTACTGTAGGCCCATCAGTTTGACTTTTTGCTCAACCATTTTATAGCAGCCGTGGATAGGTAACGATTTTTCTCCTTGCTTTAGGGATATGTAAGTAATAAAAAAAAAAAAAATAAGAAAAACTAAAAATGATATCAGTATTATCAATGGAGCACTTCCTATAGTTTTGCTTACAGGATCAATCATATACTTGACGATTGGTTCAATAAAGCACTATAGGTCTCGAAAACATGGCTACGAGCCGCTTTTGAAACATTCTCAATTACCTACTGTACATCACTACGGTTCAGCCGCCATATCAGATAGCGCATCTGATGATACCATAACACACGATATAACCATTGAAACATCTCGTTGGACATTGTTCAATCTATCGAGATTTTTGCTCTCACTTGCTCAGTTGGCTTTGTGCGTTATTGCTATTCAAAAGATTTATCATAAGACATACGAATTTACAGAAAATGAAGGTTCAGAACATGAGATCTTGGGAGCCTATATGACACAGGCCGCTTTTTGGGTAAGTTTCTTTTTTTGCATCCCAGATCTATTATGTATTGTCGCTGTGTTTATTAACTGTATCTTGTCGCGGGATTATAGGTATACTGTTTCGCTCTTTCAATCGTGAATATCTATCTCTCTAGAAGTTACACTGCTTTGGCGAATACTATCTGTAATCATCTAAACCTGGCTTATGTTATCAATTTCTTGATTGGCATTGTCAACGTACGATCTTATTATATTCTAAAACTGAATACAGAGGTAGCCTTTGGATACAAGGCCTCTATTTGCTCTACAATCATAAGCTTTGTCTTGATCGTCTTGGTTATTAACGAAACTAGAAATGCTCCTACAAAGGCTGTTGTTACGGAATCGGTAAGTGAATAGATGTTTGATGCAAATGTTTTATTAACTTTTTATAAAGGGACGTACGTTATCTCCCGAAAACTGGGCTTCCCTTTACTCTCAGTTTATGTTTAGTTGGGTAAATGTGATGATGAAGGAAGGATATCGCCGTACATTAAACGATAATGATTTACTGGAATTGCCGGCTGAAAACCGTGCCAAGAATGCATTATCTGAATATCAGCGACACAAGCAATCAAAGAGCTTGGTAGCCACGTTAATGCGTACTTTCCATGTACCTCTTTTAATTCAATTGTCCTATTGCTTGACTTGGAGTATTCTATTATTTGGTCCACCTCTCTTTTTAAATCTGATTATCAAGTATATCGAAAACCCAAGAGGAGAACCTGTGACGACCGCATTCTTTTACGTCCTCGGCTTATTTGTCACCAACTCTGCTCAGTCATTATGTCTTCAACAAGCTCTCTACATTGGCCGTATATTCAGTATCCGTATCCAGTCCATTGTAATTGGCGAAGTATTTTCAAAATCCTTACGCCGTCGCGACCAAAGTGGATCTTCATCTGAGAATGATAAAGAGGTTGTTGACAAAAAGGAGAAAAGCAACGTGAACAATTTGTTATCAGTAGACGCACAAAAGGTGGCAGAAATCGCTGCTTATATCTTTTATATTTACTCTTATCCCATTCAAATTGTGATCAGTATCTGGAGTTTATACAAGCTTTTGGGTGTTGCTGCTCTCTGGGGTGTCCTAGTCATGGTCGCATGTCAACCCATTACCTACTATATTAGTCGTCGCTTTGAAAAGCTTCATGAAGCTGTCATGTCAGCAACAGATAAACGACTCAAATTGGTCAATGAACTCTTGTCTGCAATCCGTATTGTCAAGTTTTTTGCCTGGGAAAGCGAATTCAAGAAGCGTATCCTTAACGCTAGAGAAAATGAATTGGGCGCTATTCGTTCTCGTCTGATGATGTTTATGTGGATCCTGAACGCATGGTTCCTTATTCCGGTTTTAATCATGGTTACTGTATTTTATGTATACACAGAAACAAACACGCTCACTGCCTCTGTCGCCTTCACCGCATTGGCTCTGTTCAACACGTTCCGTGGCGCTCTTGATGAGTTCCCATTGATGATCTCTCTGGTCCTTCAAGGTAATGTTTCTGTGAAGCGTGTAGAAAAGTTTTTGGATGAAGATGAGGTTGATCCCATAAAGGAAGAAGATGCAAATGGTACCATGATTGGTTTTGTTGATGATGCTACCTTCAGCTGGGACAATAAGCCTACGAATCCCGATGGTACATTTAAGGCTGCCATCAAGAATCTCAATCTCTCTTTCCCTGTTGGTAAACTTTCTATTGTCTGTGGTCCTACTGGATCCGGCAAGACTACCCTGTTGGCTAGTTTATTAGGAGAAACGCATCGCATGGCTGGTCGCGCAGTACTGCCTCGTATTATTCCAAACAAGACAAGTCCTTTGGGAGGAGCCGTCTCAGGTATTGCATATGTTGCTCAAACAGCTTGGTTACAGAATTGCAGCATTCGTGACAACATTCTTTTTGGATTACCCTATGACGAACAACGCTACCAGGACGTTTTATACATGACTGCACTCACACGCGATTTGGATATTCTCGAATTTGGAGATGCGACAGAGGTGGGCGAGAAGGGTATCACCTTGAGTGGTGGACAAAAACAACGTGTAGCCATTGCCCGTGCAGTTTACTCTCAAGCTAATACTGTCATTTTGGACGATTGTCTCAGTGCAGTGGACGCTCATACGGCTAAGCATTTATATGAACACTGTTTGACGGGACACTTGATGAAGGGACGTACGGTGATTTTAGTAACCCATCATGTTGGCCTATGTTTAAACGGAGCTGATTATGTCGTTGCTCTTAAAGATGGTGAAGTTGCTGCTGCTGGTGTTCCTAAGGACATGCTCAAGTCTGGAGCTCTCGGTGAAGAACTTGCAAATGCTGAAAAAGAAAAGGCTGATGTATCTGAAGAACGTGCTGTTGATGGCCCTATTCCTACTGTTCCCAAGACAGCTGTAAAGAAAACAACTGCTGAAGGTGACGGTAAGCTTGTCAAGGAAGAAGAGCGTGCTGAAGGTGGTGTTTCATGGAGCGTCTACAAGACATATATCGACGCCTCTGGTGGTTTTATGTTTTGGATTACAGTCCTTGTCTTGTTTTGTGCTGCACAAGGTACTACTCTCGCTCAAGACTATTGGATCAGAGTATGGTCTGCTGCGTATGGAAGGCAGGAAAGCGAGCCTATGACTAATGTAACAGCTGTTGGTACAGTTTCTATTGCCGGTCATTCTGTTTCTGCAATCGGACAAGGTGCAAGTTTTATAAACTTTTACATGTACCCTACTGATGAACAACAAGCATTGGAGGCTCCAGCCAATGAACCAATAGATGCTGTATACTACTTGGGTATTTACTTCCTTATCGGTATGGGCGCCATGCTTTTGACTTCATTACGTACCTTTATCCTTTTCACTGGCGCCATAAACGCTTCCCGTCGTATCCACAAGCAGCTGCTTGATCGTATCTTGCGCGCAAAGGTTCGTTTTTACGATACAACGCCTTTAGGTCGTATTGTGAATCGATTCTCTTCTGATTTGGCCACTATTGATCAAGAAGTAGGTCCTCAGTTATCTTTCTTCATCTACTCTATTGTTGCCACTCTATGTGTTATCATGCTGGTATCTTATGTAACACCTACATTCCTTGTTCCTGGTGCTTTCATTGCTGGATTGTTTTGGATGATTGGCACATATTATCTTGAAACATCTAGAGATTTGAAGCGTCTCAACTCAGTCTCTCGCAGTCCTATCTATGTTCAATTCAACGAAAGCGTCAACGGTGTTGCCACCATTCGTGCCTTTGGTAGTCAACATAGATTCATTAACGAAAACTATGCAAAGGTAGATAGCAACAATCGGCCGTTTATTTGGATGTGGGCCACTAACCGATGGCTTCACTGCCGTGTGGATATCCTTGGCGCCTTTGTTGGTTTCTGTACCGGTTTTGTACTTATTCTTGCTCGTGACTGGATTGACCCTGGATTAGCTGGTCTTTCGCTCAGTTACTCGCTTACGTTCACTCACCATGTCTTATGGGTCGTCCGTAATTACGCCATGAATGAAATGAACATGAATGCTGTCGAACGTGTCCACGAGTACCTTGATATCGAAGAAGAACCACCTACAGAGATACCTGAGACTGAACCTCGTCCTTCATGGCCTGAACATGGTAGCGTCGAAGTCAAAGATTTGGTTATGCAGTATGCACCCGAAAACCCACCTGTGCTTCGTAATGTCTCTTTCAAGGTAAATCCTCGAGAAAAGATTGGCATTGTCGGTCGTACTGGTTCTGGCAAGTCTACTTTGGCCCTGTCTTTATTCCGGTTCATGGAGCCTACGAGTGGACATGTTTATATTGATGGCGTTGACATTCACACTATTGGCTTGAACACACTTCGATCTCGTCTTACCATCATTCCTCAAGACCCTGTTCTGTTCTCTGGCACACTTCGCAGCAACTTGGATCCTTTTGATCAACATGACGATGCTGAGCTCTGGGCTTCATTGAAGCGTGCTCATTTGATTGATGATGAGAACCAACAAGGAGAAAATGCCATTAGTCTTGATTCACCTGTTACAGAGAACGGATCCAACTGGTCACAAGGACAAAGACAGTTGATTGCTTTGGCTCGTGCGCTTGTCAAGAAATCCTCATTGATTATTTTGGATGAAGCTACATCTTCTGTTGATTTTGATACAGATCACAAGATTCAAGAAACCATAAGAACCGAGTTTAAGAACTCTGCATTGCTTTGTATTGCTCATCGTATTCGTACTGTAGCAGATTATGATCGTATCTTAGTCTTGGATCACGGACAAGTCAAGGAATTTGATACACCTTATCATTTGATGAAGAAAGAAGGAGGTATCTTCCAGCAAATGTGCGTTCGCTCTGGTGAATACAACGAATTGTTGTCTATTGCAAAGAAAAAGCATGAAAGTCATTAAATAATTTATAGAACATTTTATTATTATTATTATTATTATTATTATTATTGCTATTATTCCTCATTTTTCATTTCAATAAACAATCTGATTACATACTTAGCACACACGCATTCTTTAGTTTATTTTCATGGATCGATGCTTAAGGGATTGATTCAAGGACGTCTTTACGATAGAATAATCTATTTGATAATAATTTTTAATGACCGATGAGCACATAGCATTCTCATGCTCTACTGCCCAGGTCAGATCGCAGTGAGAAGGAATGAAAAACCCTTTTGGGATTAAAGGGAAAATGTAAAAAGTATTACGTATTAGGGATGATAATTAACTATCTGAAAATTTTTGCTGAATGTAACGAAGACGTTTGGCAAAGGGTTCACCAAGGTAGTTTGAAGCTTCAGGGAACTAAGAATGAGCTAATTAGTCCATTTCGAGTAATATTGCACATGTGGAAGGCCAACGAATGAGCCAGGCATTGATTGATTTTCTCGCTTTCTTGGTAAGGAGTGTTGATAGTAAGAGGTTCAAAAGATAGGAAAGTGGATCGTCAATAGATTTGGGCATCTGAAGGCGGTTGTGCATATCTAAACAAGAAAAACTATGCTGACGTGAAAAAAGTTCATTTGGATGAAAGGGACAGGCTTGGGGTTTACCAAGAGGTAACCAACCAAGTCGCCATCGCACGCAACGAGGCCGTTCACTTCTTGTCATTGGTATCCGAAGAATAGGGCCGACAATTAGATCATTACGGCAGTGGGCAGAAGTTTAAAATGTTTTTCTTGGAGCTTCGAACGGTGGCTGTAAGGACGTCTTTACAGTATTTCTACTTAAACTCAGGCGATGTTAGCTTTTTTAGATAAAATTAAATAGAAATTCAGACAAAGCAAAACTCGTATTCAGATAATTACAGGTAAATATCTAAATGTCCAATTATAGGCAAACTGTTTACGCTACAGTGATTGGTTTGTTGTTGCTGCTGTTGCTTGTTTTTGTTGTTCAAAAACAGTCGGTTGGCCGTTTTCTCTCCAAATTGCTAAAGAGATTGCCATCATATTTTTTGCAGCATTCACGTCTCGCTGCCACAATGTAGTGCAGGTTTTACAGACCAGTACACTGTGGCCGCGAGTATGCTTTGCAAGTTTAAGAGTAATCACTTGGCAATTGTTGCAAGCCTTGGAGGTATTGAATTCATCGATGGTGACAGTAATAAGGTCACCCTCCCTTTCCCGCTTTTTAAGGGTATTTCACAACTTCCCTGTTACCCCACAGCGGTTACCTCACAGCGGTTACCCCTTAGCTTGACTAAGTCCTTCCCAAACATTCCGTCCCCAAAGACGACCAACGGTACCTTTCTGTTGTTTTCCGTACGGCAAAGGTTTCCATTTATTCAGCCTTCCAAAAAAAAAAGTTAATATCATCAACAAAAAAGAAGATTTGTTGCCTACTTTGTCGGCGCCTTGGTTGCAGCCTTGGGGGCAGCTTTCTTCTTTTTTTCTACATCTTCTGTTATGCTTTGCGTCTCCAGTGAGAAGAATATTAACTATTTTCTCGGCCGCTCTCTGTAGACCTTAGTACAGAAAAAATTGAAATTTTTCAGTGTTGCTGCCATAAAAATTGAATAGCGTATTCAAATGACTGAGGATATACTGAACATAGACAGTATATGACTGATAGAAAGTTGTCTTGGATGGCATCTCACTTTCAATTGATTCAATTTGATTTTCTTTTTTCCATCGTCTCTGGTCAGCCTGGTATCTGGTAGATCCGGCCATGTGATAATGTTCACGGGCGGTACATCGCAGTAGACTATGAACTTTTGTGCTTACACCCTCTGCTGCTGTGAAAACAGTCTTTCTCTCAGGATCAATAAAAAGCGGCCTGTATCTGTTTTATACTTTGTCGATATCGAAGCCATGTTATTTGAGCTCAGGATCTACTTCGTTCATTGTTGCACGATTGGTTGATCTTTTGTAAAATAGAGTCAATAGAGAAGCCGTACGATCTAATTATGTTGCCAAACATGACGTGGTTGTTTCCGCATGGTTCAAGGTCGTCGCTAAAATAAAAATAAAAGATTAATGGTTTCCTGATAAGATGTCAACATTTTTTGACAACAATCTATAATACCTTTTATATCTCAAGGCAGCTAAATCTATCACACTTTCAAAGAATGAGAACTGATTATCATACCCTTCTGGTCTTGATCGGGATACAAATGATCTCAACGCATTTGAGCTAATGGCGATTGATCTGAAATGCAAGGATAGCTTCGGTAATACTCCAAATAGTCGTGGCAATGGGAGTCGGCGCACATCATAGGGTTTGTGGTTTCGATGTTTAACCTAGTATTCGGATAAGATTTGACAAAGAACACGTATGTGTTGTTCTGGTTGGCGACTGAGAGTTTTTAAAGTAACTTTGTTTGGGAGCAGTACTTTGAGCGGCTGACAAAGATCTGTAATTAATACTTTTTGTTGTTCCTGCAGTCTTGTCGCACAACTTGGTCAATGCGGTTCCCCGCCACAAACAAACTGATAGCAATATTTAGCCGAAATGTCAGAAGTGTCATTCGGATGTACGTTCTATGTATGAGAAGAGTATGGATTCCAATTTTCTATTTTTAAAAAAATACAACAATCGTTGTTCAAAATTCTCAACAATATGGTTGTTGTAGCATGTCTCCAGCTCTTTGCAAGCTTTGGTGAGACATTGGCTGGCCCCCTTTATCAACTTTTGCTGATATACAGCATTTGGATTTGTGTCTTTGAAAGTATTCCAGTATGATATGAGGTCTGCTGGTGTATTGACGTTATTCCTTATTTTCTTTCCATTGATCAATTGGCACACTGAGTACCAATATCGTTGTGTGAGAACAGCGTGAGGTATGGAATCATGGGGTTTCGACAAACTATAGCTATTAGTCAACAGCATCACCCTGGATACAATATTGCGGGTGTCTCTTGAACTGACAATGATCTTGTTTTTGGGTATCTCTTTGTAATCACTTTTGACAATAGAGTCCAACGGAAGTTTTCTAGTGAAAGCTATATACGGAAAGCCAAGGTTTCTTGCAAGCACTTCATTCTTTGCGAGATTGTGGTTGGGACATAAACGGGAACGTGACGTACTATGACCACTTTGTTGACAGCTTTTGCAAATTACTGTTGAGTTTGTGCCCTCCTTTTGTCGTTTGGCTTGCTGTTTAGCTTGCTTGAGACTTGAGTTTTGCCTTCTTTTTGTTCCACTAGATGCTCCAACTAACAATAGAAATATCATTAACATAGTAAATAATTCAACATGAAAGACACAAGTGAAATACCATCATCAACTGAAGCCTCTTTATAAAATTTATATTTGTAATACCTTTTATTCGCGTGTCCTCTCTCTTGGCAATCCTCACAAATCATGTCTATACAAAAATTACGCTATAAATAATATAGACTTATTTGAATTGATTACTATCTTTTACCTTTAAACAGATTATCTACGTTTCCTTCTTCAAGCTTTCTTTTGTTGAGAACTGATAGTTTCTTTTCAAGAATGAAGTTTTTAAGCATGTTGTCGAGGAAAGAGATTCAAATTTACCAACTTTATTTAATATTTATGTTATATAGAAAAATGTGCCAATTCCTGCATCACGCGTTCTTCTTTCGTTGAAGAAATCATAGAGAACCCATCCGACTTGACAATATTACTAGGAAAAAAAACCACTATAGACTAGTATTTCTCATTCATATTATTAGCGTTATTACAGCAGAATTCAAGAGGAGCAGCAAAAAAAAAAAGGTAAAATTGGCTTGCCAAAGATTAACCATCATAAACAAGGTATTCTTACTAAAGGATAAGATTATTGTACAGACCAAACGTCTAAAATACCAATGTCTATTGTCTGAATTTCTATTGAAAGTTAATTTTGATTTGTCCAGAAAAAAGCTAACATCGTCTGAATTTAAAGTAGAAATACTTTATCATGCTAGTAGTTTAATACCCCGTTTCCCTTTTGGCCAATAAGAGTAAGCATCCAAGTCTTGTTTTAGCGAGAGAAAATGAGGGTATCAAATCCGGTAAGAATCCTCCCTTTCTCTAATAACACAGTATGGTAAGTTAGCCTTTACAATAAAGAAAAAGAGGGCAGACGAAATGAAGGGAGGATTTGCATTATTTGATGTCAGAGATGGATGGATGGATGACTCTATATTTCGATTATGAAGATAAATGAATAGTTATTAATAAAAAAAGCGAGAGGAAATATGTCAATGAAGAGAATGTAAACAACATCATAGCAGCCCCATTAGACTTCATTTCGCCCATTATTTCTTTTTATAAAAGCACAGCTGCTATTCTCTTTTTGTTCAGTCCTTGTTTTTCTAAACCAGAGCTCTATTTGTAGACTTCCAAGAGAAGAAATAACGGACGTAACCAGCACGGACGTGGACACACCAAGTTTGTCCGTTGTATCAACTGTTACCGCTGTGTCCCTAAGGACAAGGCTATTAAGCGTTTCACTATCCGTAACATGGTTGAAACTGCTGCTATCCGTGATATTCAAGAAGCCTCCGTTTATGAGGGTAAATGATGAAAGAGAGAGAGAGAAAGAGAGATGATATGTAGCATTGATATTTACATTTAATTAGAATATGCTATTCCCAAGTTATATGTCAAGCTTCATTACTGTGTTTCATGTGCTATTCACGCTCGTATCGTTCGTGTTCGTTCTCGCACTCAGCGCCGTAGCAGACTTCCTCCTCCTAGATTCAGATTCCAAAAGGTAAAACAATAAAAAAGATTCATAAAGAGGATGGGAACTGACTGTGTGTCTTATTAGACTGCCAACAAGGCTTAAATGTCCTCCTCTCATTTTTGCTTTAGTGCGTGCGTGCGCGTGTGTGTGTGTGTATGCGTCAATAAAAAGGAATTGAATGATCTGTGTTGTAAATGCATAAATGGATATTTTGGTACAAGTCGTGTTTGAAAGTCGAATGTGGTGTATTATTAACAAGTAAAGATTTGGTCGGCCCAACTGGGTTGATATAAACCACATTTTTTTAATTGGACAGAATTTCTCATTTTTCGCGACGCGTGTTATTTCTACCTGTATTTATTTAAGCCTTCCTCCTCTCTTTCTCTCCACCAGTTTTCACTGCAGTTAATTTGTAAATATAACTGGTTTTTTTTTTTAACCAAGACAATTTTTACTGATAAAAACAAAAACAGTATACAAAAAAGCACAACAAAGTCATAGTTTCTGGTTGTTTAAAATTCACGTCTAAATCTCTCAATCAACATTTGCAAAATTAAAGTTTAAACATGCCTCCTGTCAACAAAGAGTTTGATATCAACGTAAAAGTGGCAGTTAGCAAGCATCTTACCACTGATAATACAGTGAAAATTATATTACTTCATGAACACGACTGGAACGAACCAAAGTTGATCTTTCAAGAAGGATAATTGTACTATGTGAGGAAAATAATAAGGTGATGTACGATGTACTGTTGGATGAAGCAAATGGTCATATCCTCAAGCTCAATGAAGACTCTATCAAGTATGTCAACCCTCTTACAACTCTAGTAACTCAGGGAACTGTTATCAACGCCACTATAGTCGAAGCTGAAGATGCAGTGGATGAAGATGAGGAAGAGGAAGCCATTGATTTGACTTCAAGTCGTGGGTGGAACGCTGGTGAGGCCTGCATCGATTCTCGTCTAGGCGATTCAGTAGAAGGGTTCGCCTCCTTGAACTCTCGTTTAATGATGAACAATGGAAAATATGCCTCTTCATTGGATTATTTCTTGTTCTTCCTTCCTGTGGATCATTTTTATTCCATTATCCACAATACCAACCTTTATGCAAGAAGTCTCGGCCATTGGGAAGATATTACCTTTCATGAATATCTCATGTGGATCGCACTCTTGACGGTAATGACTGTGGTCAGACATGGTGATAGAAAGGCATATTGGAGACAAGACCAGTCTTTTTTCTTGATGAATGTTGATTTTAGTCAATATATGTCTTTTAACAGATTCAATGACATCATGAAGATGCATGTTTTTAAAATTCCTTCAAACCAGGCTCAGGAACTTGACCCTCTTTATCAAATTAAGTCCACCACCCAAGCCTTTAATGATCACATGCCTAAGTGTATAATACCAGGAAAATATCTTGTTATCGATGATTCCATGAACCAATGGTTAGGTGCTGGTACGCCAAATTTAAAGAAGGTTCCTAGAAAGCTACATCCAATCGGACAAGAGTTTAAGACGTTGGCTGACAATCACTGCTACTGCATATTGCGTGTCGATACAGTCAGTGATCCTTGCCCAAAAGAATTTGACAAAGACCCTGGTATGAAGAAGCTGGCGGCCACTGTTAAACGTTTGGTAAAGCCTTAGTTTGGCTCTGGTCGAACGGTCATTGCTGACTCTTGGTTCGGTTCGCCTGACATGATCTCAATGCTGATGAATCATGGCCATTATTCGATTATGCAGGTCCCAAGCATCGTTACTGGCCTCAGGGCATGCCTGAAACAGGCATTGTGGAGAGCGTAGCTGCTAACTATGGTAGTTACTACACTATGAAAAAAGATACAACCAACGGGAAAATGTTTGTTTGCGCTTTTCGGGCTCAAAAAGTAAAAGCCTTTGTATCCTCATGTGGCACCACTAGACTTGTTGGTGAAAAGACTTTCAAGTCTTCTGACGGTAACCTAGTTACTATCAAGCGTCCAGAAGTAATAGATGGATTCGAAAGACACAAAAGTAGGTATAATAGCTGCAATATAATGCATGTGCTGAAGTCGATTGTTTTCGCTATAGGTTCTGTGGATGCTGCAAATAATTTACGTGATAATCTGACCTCTTATCACGGCATTATCTCAACCGAGAGATGGGAAATGCGCTTCTTTGGTTTCTTCTTGGGCCTTTGCGAAGCTAATGCATACAGTTCCTTCAAGGTCTTCTCTGAGAAAGGTGCTTCAAGGGATTACTCATCCTTTAAGGATAATTTGGCCTTCAACATGCTTGAACATTGTAAGAAACTGAAGTCAAGATACAATGAAGTGGCCCAAGACAGCAACCGAATGCTTAGAAGTGACTCTAACCATTCCTACATCTCCATGAGTAATGCAGGCAATAAAATAAAGAGATTGATATGCCACAAATGCAAAGAAAGCGGCACTAATGGCAAGCGGGTTGAAAAATTTTGTAGTTGTGACCCCACAACCCCTTTGTACTTCGACTGTTATAATCAGCACTTGAAGGCTGCCTGGCATCGTCAGCTTTATTAAAAATAACTCTTCATAACTATGTCTACAATATTTTTTTTTTTTTTTCAATAAGCTACTACATCGTTTTATTGATCAAAGGGTCAGCCCAAATGGGCCGACTGATTTTTTTTTTTTTGAAAAGCCGACCAACTTCAAAACGATATAGTTATGAGACAAAAGTGCTTACTTCTTTATAAAAGATCACGTGTAGGTAGAATGCATGGCTATTAATACGTAATGGAATGGATAGCAGCAGCAAATAATTCTTTATCTGATAAAAATATTATTTTACAGTCGGCCTAAATGGGCCGATTGCCAAATCTGTACTTATTAATGAAGGGTAGTAAGCTTGTATGCTTAACTATGGTGTAACCGTATTGTGTAATAATGTACATGTATATGTAAAGGTAACTGCTCTGATCGCTTTGACAAAGCTTAGCTGAATGCACTTGACAGTAGGAAATACTTATATTCAATCCTATGTGCTGTTTTCAGTAGATCTCTAATCAAATCAGAGTGACGCGTATTTTAAAAGTGCGACAGTCACGTTCCAAAAATTTTTTTCAAGTTAAAACTATAAATTAATCTTAAGCTCAACTTTCTTTTCAAACTTTTGCTTTAGGAAACCATTAAATGTAAGTATATCTCGGTTCTTTTTCTTTCTTTCAATGATGAACAAAACTTATTGCTACTAAACCCAGCTCAGTTTGAGAGATTTCGTTGAAAGAAACTTTTTATTCTGAAGAGAAAGAAAAAGACCTACTTTTGTTTGTCTCTTTTACTAACATCTATTTTTGTATATAGTGTAAACTTGGTTTTACATTTTGGTTATTTATATAATAAACGTAGTTTTACCTTATATTTTGTTTGTATATTGAAAGTGTGTGTAATGTTGCTATGCTCAATTATAAATCTAATAAGCCATGTTTACTGTATTATTTTCGGCTTAACTAACAGCCATTGTCTATTTAATAAGGCATCATACAAGAGTATGAATATCTCACTGACACGTTGATTTTTTTTTTTTTTTACTAAATTATAGTATTTGTCACTTGGCAAATTAAGCATCTTCTTGGAGTTGCTTTTCCCGGTGATGGTATATATGTTATTGGTGTAAGCATTGTTGCTAGTCGTATTAATCCATTAATCAGAAAATGTTTTGTTTCTTTAATAAAGGTCGTAGTGGGCACCCGATGCGTAAGGAAAGGCTCAAGGTAGGGGTGTTTAGTAGCAATTAAGGGCTTTGGCGAGTGAGGGGCCCGTGTTAGGAGGCTCTTCTGACGTGTTATGGTTGTAATTGGCTATGGGCACTTGTAAGGGAAAGGAATGAATGGCCATGACAAGGCCCAATTTTAGCATATCAAAGACCGATTTGCCCATTAAAACTGTGCACCCAACGCTCAGTAGGTACTGAAGACGTTGCATTAGTAAGCTAAATGCACAATTATAATTTACGAGTATTCAAATAGATAATAGTAGTGCTGAAGCCGTAATATTAATGCTGCCGCAAATATGCGCACTATTCTTGATTACATGAATGCTAACCTTGATTTGAGTTTCAGGCAAGCACAGTTATCAAAAAGTCAAGAAGAGTATGCTAACCTTGAAGTCTAGACACATTTCGTCAACTGTGAAATATTCAGTCTTCAGGACCATGGCAAGTACAAGTTGTTGTTCACGTGACTGTATACTAAAAAAGTGACGTAAAGTGTAGTGAAAAAGGTTGTTTTTTTTTCTACTCCTTTTTTATTCTACTTTTTCTTAATACACAATGATTGTTGAAGAGCAACACCAACAGCCATTTCAATTTGCACCACAGACAGATGAATACACTCAGCTACTAACTGAACTTCATGAAAAATACTGCTCTGAGCAGCCTTCGGATCCTTTACAGTTTTGTTGCAACTTCTTTCTACGTAAACTAGAAGAACAGCGAAGAGCTTACAGACACAATATCGTACAACAAAATAATCATACCTTTTCCCGTAACCATTTTAAAAAAAATATGGCGTGATGTTGCATAAAAGACTCATTTATATACATATATATATGCATATAGCTAATGACAATGATATCCATCCTCTATGTGAACAACAAGAACAGATAAATAATAACAGCAATATCAGCAGTAATCCTTTTGACTGGAATAATGGAGAACAGGACGGCCAAGATGACGAATTTGAAGACGAGGAACAAGATGACTTTTTCACTGAGCCATTACCTTCTCTACCACCTACCAACTACAATCGTGGTCGACGTACGTCTGTCAGCGCGGAATCCATGGCACCTACTCAAGATTTTGTCAAGGTAGTCATTCCCAAAACTGAAGCACAGGCAGAACGTATTAAAGTTAGCATTGGCAATAATTTCTTATTTCGCAACTTGGACGAGGAGCAATATCAGGACGTGGTAAATGCGATGGCGGAAAAACGTGTTGAGAGTGGAACAATAGTGATCGAACAGGGCGCAGTAGGAGATTTCTTCTATGTGGTAGAGTCAGGCACCTTGGATTGCTTTATTTCAGGTAATAAGGTGACCAATTACGAAGCAGGAGGTAGTTTTGGTGAGTTGGCACTCATGTACAATGCTCCTCGTGCTGCTACTATCGTCGCTACATCGGATTGCGTCCTCTGGGCCTTGGATCGCGTTACTTTCCGAACAATATTGATGGAAAATACATCTCGAAAGAGACGCATGTATGAAACCTTTCTGTCTGAAGTCGCTCTTCTTAAATCACTGGAACCTTATGAAAGACATAAAATTGCTGACGCACTTGAATCAGTGTACTTTGAAAACGGTGAGGAGGTAGTTAAACAGGGGGATATAGGAGATCAATTCTATATTATCGAATCAGGTGAAGCAGTTGTGTTAATGACAGACCCTTCATCAGGAGAAACAAAACAAGTCAATAAATTGGAGCGAGGCTCTTATTTTGGCGGTAAGGTTTATATGTTGTATATAACATAAGCTAATAGTTTATTTAGAATTGGCCTTATTAAATGATAGTCCAAGAGCTGCCACTGTCATTGCTCATGGTAGACTTAAATGTGCAACCCTTGGAAAGAAAGCATTCACCCGTCTTTTGGGGCCTGTGTTAGATATCTTGAAACGTAATTCAGAAAACTATCATGCAATCATTAGTCAACAGTCATAGATTTCCACCCCCTTTTTTTTATATATTTTTGAAATAAATATATACATTCCTTTAACAACAAAAAGAGAGAGAGAGAGAGTTGAAAATCAATACTCTTGATTGTTCTTGACATGAAGATAATGTATGCACAATATGAAAGGGTCCGTTGCATTGCCAAAAAGAAGCAGGTCTGTTTCTTTAATGCATCATCAATTGATAAAAAAAAAAAATAAGCTTCTTTTATACTCCTTATTATCCCCTTTTGCCTCCTCCTTTTGTGTATAAATAAAAACATATTTGTTTTTTTTCTTTCACTCTTTTTCTTTCTTATAAACAATCATGATGGACCTCGAAGATTTCTCTGTACCTCCACCACCACCTCCAATTTCAGCTTCCCCTTTGTCAGGTACAGGTATAGCAAACTTACCAAACCAAAGACACAAGATTGTTGCTAAAAATGGTGCAAACTTTACCATCATGGTTTGTGGTAAGTATTGATAGACACTTTTTATACAAATATAATTCATTTTTATCTATAGGTGAATCTGGAGTAGGCAAGACAACGTTTGTCAATACGTTGTTTACGACAACGATCAAGGAACCAAAAAACCTGAGCAAGAGACATGCCAAGTCTCCTCCTTCCAAGACTGTACAAATCCAAATTACAAGAGCTGGTAAGTCATGTTTCGAATAAGGAAAAAAAGCTTACAAGAAAAAAAAAGAATTGGAAGAAAAGATGTTCAAGGTCAAATTGACCATTATTGATACACCCGGCTTTGGAGACTATGTCAATAATCGCCATAGTTGGATTCCAATTGTTGATTTTATTGATGATCAACATGAAAAATATATGCGACAAGAACAACAGCCTTGTAGAAAGGGGATCATTGATATGCGCGTCCATGCTTGCTTATATTTCATAAAGCCTACAGGACATACGTAAGGTGATAAAGGGATTTCATACAGAATACTGATTTTTTTCTTTGGTAGTTTGAATCCATTGGATATTGAGGTCATGAAAAGACTAGGTTCTCGTGTTAACTTGATTCCTGTTATTGCCAAAGCAGATACATTAACACCCTCAAATCTGGAAAAGTTCAAGCAGAATGTAAGGGGGAAAAAAAAAGTGTCTTTATTTGAATACTAGAAAAAAAAAACATATTTACTAGGTTCGTGAGGTGATTGCTGCTCAAAATATTCAAGTGTATACTTGTCCTATTGAAAGTGATGATGAACAAGTGACAAAGAGAAACCGTAATATTATGGCAGCATTACCTTTTGCCGTCATTGGTTCTACTCAAGATGTTGTTACTTTTGATGGTCGTAAAGTTAAGGGGCGTGAATATGCATGGGGTGTAGCAGAAGTAGAGAATGATGCTCATTGCGACTTTAAGAAGCTGAGAAGTTTGTTGATCCGTACTCATATGTTGGACTTGATCACAACCACAGAAGAGGTACACTATGAGAATTACCGTCAAGCTCAGATGGAAACAAGAAAGTTTGGTGAACCTCGTTCTCAGCCAAATGAAAATGCAAAGTTTAAAGAGGAAGAAGAAGCCTTGCGTAAGAGATTCACAGAACAAGTCAAGGCCGAGGAAAATCGATTCAGACAATGGGAGAGACAGGTAAAAAAGAGAGAGTGTGTGTTGAACAAGTGTCAAGATAAAGCTTATGTTGTGTATTATATAGCTTTTGAATGAAAGAGACCGTCTTCATAAAGAATTGGAGACACAAGGTGAAAAGGTCAAAGAATTGCAAAATGAATTAGAGGCTTACTATTATCATCAACGAGATAAATCGATCAGAAAGTAACCAAAATTTTTATTTTTATAGTCACTAATAAATATCCCCCCTCCTTCCTCGACAAGTATGCTTCATATTTAGTACTTGTACCAAACAATAAAGATGGCAATCGCTATAATAATTCTAATGATGTATTCTACATTATCATATTTATGTTTGCTTGGTCTTCCTCCACTTGCTAATTCTTCTAATATATCTTCTAGTTGGTCTGTGAAGGCTTCTAATGAAAATTTGTCTTTCACATGGTCATGTCCTGCTCGACCCATTTCCTGTCGATCATACTTCGATAGCAGAATATCACTCATGCCCTTGGCCCACAACTCAGGCTCAGGTGGCAAGATAAGACCTGTCTTCTGATCGATCACAGTTTCGAGAGGCCCACCACTGTTGGCTGCAATGACAGGCAATGAAGCATACATGGCCTCTACAGGAACAATGCCAAAGTGTTCATTGGAAGGCGTATAGAGTAGCATGGCAGATGAGTTTAGTAAGTATGTGCGCTGAGCATCATTGAATGAACACAAAAAGACAACTTGAGCAGTCCTTGGTGGTTTTTCTGTACAAGATGGGTAAATGATGAACGTCTCGAGGCCAAAGGTTTGTCTCGCTAATTTGTCCAAATCTTTTAGATATTCAACATTTTCTGTCACGCGACGATCGTAGCCACCAGCAAGTACAAGTCTATAATTGTCAAATTCAGGTGCAGGAACAAGTTGGCTTAGGGCTGCAAATGCTCTTAGAGCCAATTCTACATTTTTCTTTCTTTCAAAACGGTTGATAGAAAGGCATGTTTTCCTATCACTAATCCCATAGAAGTAAGAAAAAGGTCAAGCTAAAAAAAAAATCAAATGAAGCTTACCTTTCCAAGATCTGGACCGTGACGTCTGACATATCCACTTGACGATCATACAGAGCAAAGTTGATAGGTGGGTAAAGTACGCGTGGCTTTTTGAGAATGCTACGAAATGACTTCCTGAATATTGTGGCAGTAAATTGACTATTTACTGTAATTGTATCTGCCTTGCTCGTCGTCCATTCTTCCAAAAGATCAATAGGCGCCCTATATAGTTCTTTCAGGGTAGAGTTTCGTACTGACAGCATTTTATCAGGAAAATGACAATAAAATAAAACCTATCGTCATGTCAGACTATTTTATATTTATGTATATCATTTTATGCACCTTGGACGATGTAAACCACTTCAAGAGAGGAACGCACATGCTCAGTTGGTCTACAAAGAATACATCATAGGTATCTCTATCGTTCCACAATATCCACAATATCAATGCAAACTGTCTAAGCATCGCACAGATAATATAAAATTTGCCAAATACTTCTCGAGGCAAAAAGTCACCAAAAACGCGTACAGAAAGTGTACCATCTCGAGTTTCCTCAAAGCAATGATTGGGATCATGATGACTGGTATACATGACTACTTGATGTCCCTTGGATTGAATACCAGCTGCAGCATCTACAACTAATCTTTCTGCTCCTCCTATAATGTTGTTATAGTTACATTTATATCCCCCTTTTCCCCTCGCCTTACCGATCCCCAAGTCTGGATGTATGAATGCAATATTTAGCTTTGCATTTATATTTGACATGTCACAAATATTAAAGAGAAAAAGAAAGCGAGTTTCTGTCTTTTAAAAATGTATTCAAAAGAAAGCGCGTTCTTTTTTTTTCTTTCTTTCTTCATTAAAAAGAAAGGAATCATGAGCTTACTTCAATCTTATGTGAACCGTTTGTATCCTTTTATTATTGTTTTTTAAAAAAAAAGTTAACAAGAGAATTTATTCTAGATAAAGTACATGTGATCACTGTTGATGGAAGAGTTATGGTGGTAATAATCAAGACAAACATGCTTATGGAGGTGCCTGATCATTTTTCTTTTGTAGGGAACATTAAGAGGAACCGATCAAACAGCCAATGTGATATTAGAAAAATGTGAGGAACGTGTATACTCTCATGAAGGCACAGAAGTAGTTCCACTTGGTTTATATCTCATAAGAGGAGACAACGTGTAAAGTACAAAAAGAAATAGACTCTTGTTTTAATTAACCATTATTATACGTAGGTGCACAATTGGTGACTTGGATAGTGAACAAGAACAAGCAATAGACATCACACAGATAAAAGCAGATCCATTAATGCCAACAAGGTTGTAGTCACACACTTTATTCTATGATATTTTTAAATGGCAAGTAGTAGCTTTGATAAATTGACATAACGATAACCTGATCTTTCAAGATATTCATTCACTATGCTTTGGTACGCCAATAATAAATTAAAATGTTTGTTTATAATAGCTTCATCTTGATCTATTCAACATTAGTCTTGTAACCTTTTCCTATTTATTTCTCTTACCTTGGCCTATGCTAAGCTTATTCTTCTCTTTTACGGGATCAAACAGACTATAGAAATATAGTAATTGGGTATACAGTTGTTTTTCCGTATACTAGAATAATATGAGTGACATGAGTATCATTTATACTAATCTCTTACTTCTCTTGACATCGTTCCTCGACAGGTATCAATTAAACATCTACGACCAAAAACTGACACCATTCGTGTTCTGTTTCTACATGTCGCATCATCACATATAAGCCAACCTTGATAGTATCTGTTAATAAATGCTCGAATGCACATAATTAATTGAGCCTTGAAGCTTCCAGGGTTTATCAATTGATGACAATGAACACACTCTAATCCACATTCAATTCTACCATCTACTTGTCTTAGGATGCCGTCATATTCAAACTTTTGATCACAGTGATTGCATTCGAGCTGAAGCCTTTCTGATGACTTGAATCTTTCTTCATCACTCAACTGTGAATCTAACGTCATGAGCTCTTGATCGTTATTATCTCCTTGATAATGGTGATATCGGCTTGTGTCCAAGCCAAGACACTCTGCTAATCTTACAGGGTCCGTTCCTTCAATAGGTGAACACAAACGTGTCAATGGTGGATGAACTTGCTGTTGAAGGTACCATTCGATATCAAGCTGCATATTGTTCTTGATCACAGCGTCTGGATGGTACGCTCGAAGTGCTGATCCTCGCTTGTCGCCACTTGTCTCTTCGTCTACTTTGCAAATCACATAGGGAACCGTATCGCCTGATTTTACGTTTTGCCCTGCAGCTAGCATACGCAGTGCGACTTGTACATGGGGCTGGCTTTTAGCATCAGCATAGTCTTGAGGTCGCTTCGTCAGTTGCTTGTTGATCACATACTTTTCTAATGGAATATCTCCTTGTCTGATACGCTCCACTGTTACTTCAAGGTACGTATAGATCTCATTGATGACCTCATCCCGTTCTTTGTCTGATAAAATCAGTTCGAGTACACGAGAAGACACATCATGAGAAAGGTCACACCAGTCACGACGAACAAGGTCAAGACCCTTCGTTTCAATTGTCTCAACCAGCTCTCCATTCTCTTTCTCTTCAACTAATAAAGCAGCATATTTTTTCTTCTTTAGTAAAAGCATGTGCTTGAAATAGCCATCAATGCCGATCTCCAGGAGTTTATAATGGTGATTTACTTGCTTTCTCAGCAAGTTGCCCATCTTCTTTACTTCATTCAGATCGCTTTGATTTGTGTAGACCATAATAGAGTCAGTATCACCATAGATGACGTTCATGTCGAGACTTCTTGCAAGGTTGACTGTGTTTTGAAGAATTTCACGGCCTTTGAAGGTGATCAGCATAGCCAATGGTTTAGCGTAAAAACGCGAGTAAGTAAAACCAAGACAGCCGTACATACTGTTGGCTGTAAGTTTGAGAGCTTTTTGTCTGATGTCAAGTTGATTGTATTTAGCTTCGGATTTTTCACCTTTCATGGCACTTTTCACTTGTCGACGACGATCGACTAGCGTCTTTAAGATTCGAGGTAAAATACCCTCTGGTAGTGAATCACCAGGGATTTCAGGAACCTTCTCTTCTTGGTTGTTTTCCTTTTTGAAATTATTTTAGTATGGACGATTTACCCATTATTCACACAATAATACCTCTGTTTTTTGTTGTTGAAGGGTACTACGATCTACCGTCGTGAAACATACGTTGTATTCTTGAATGATTGAAGGATACAAACTGTTGAAATCAAGCAACAAGACATATCTATCATAGAAGCCCTTTTTAGGTTCCAGTACAAGGCCACCAGCATAAGCAGGTTTTCTTCTTCCAGACTTTTTGACTGTTGATGCTTCTTTTACAGCATCTTCATCTTCATCTTGTTCAACAGCTTGCACGATGGCAGTGTCCTTGTTACCAAATGACTTGTCAGGACAAATATATTTTGCTTTGTGAAATTCATGAAGCAGCAAATACTCATTTCTTTCGGCTCTTGCACCTGTCATCGTTCTTGCCCACAAGTTTCCTGCCAACGTCGTCAGTTGATGTGTCAATGGAAGAATTTGAAGCTTGAATGTAAGAGACATGGAGAGATAAGTATCGAAAGAGCAATGCTTTAGGAAATGTAAAAGCTTGTCAGATGTTTCGTAATATTGCTCTGATTTTCCAAATTCAATATCTTCACGAACAATTTTGAGCTGTGATTGTGCCAGATCAGTCAAACGGTATGATTTGCTTCGAATAAGGTCTTTTGAAGCCAAGTATGTGTCGCACACCAGACGACCGCTCATGATCATCTTTTCTTGAAACGTTGATTCTCCTGCACCACCTGCTCCTGCTTGCAACTTTGGCCAACTATCAAAAAGGGTTCATATGCGTAAATCTATATATAGAATGAGTTATCACTTACTTTTTACGCTTCAATCTGCCTAGTTTATGCCAATGCTGGATATTGAGTGCTTTCATACGATGCAAAAGAACGTCCAAGTCAAAGCCGGAAAAGTTATGGCCAACAATGATATCTGGATCACACATGTGGATACGAGCGATTAAATAGTTCAAAAGCGCTGCTTCTGTTCTCTCCACTTGAGCAGAAAAACCGCCCGCCTTTTTCTTTTCGTTCGCTAATGTTTCTACAAGTCCAGCTGGGTAAGGCCGGTTGTCGAGCTGACGAACGACTGTGAATCGCATCTTTTGTTGATCCTCAAGCGTCTTGGTGTCATCAATTTGAACTTGATTACAAACAAGAGCACTTGCAGCTACAATCTCATTGGTGTTCTTCTTGCTGTTCAGGATCGTTCTCAAGCAAAGCGACATGACTGTCAAAGGTGGGATGTTGATAGGTCTATTGCCGGTCTCATCTACCAAAGGATTTACAGTCTTGGGGTCATCGACAGTGATCTCGACTTTACACCATGTTTCCTATTGTTTGTATATCATTAGATGGTATATCCATTGGGTATATATATATATCTTACGCTTGTCTTGCTCATTTGTGGGCTTTGTACATCTAGCCAACATGGCCCCATGATATCACGCTTTACTAAAAAGTGCTCAAGTGGCCCCGTATTTGTTCCAAAGATATGACTAAATGTTCTTCCAGTTTCATTGCCTGTCAGTGATGGTTCTATATATATAATACACATGTAATTAAAAAAAGGTCCATATGCTTTTTTAATCCTTACTTACGTTCGTAGTCATACAAAACCTTCAAGTAGTCCGATTCGGCTGGAACGTCTGGTAACTCAAACGCATACTTTCTTGTCACTTTCTTTGACGCAAATTTTGTGATGCGACGTTTAGAAAACAAGTCAGAAACTTCCGCATAAACATCTGCAATGTCCACTTCTTGATCTGTTTCTTTACCATTGTCTAAATACACATATGAGATACGAGTTCTTTTGTTTTCCTAATTGATATACCATCTAATAAAAATGGACGAGGCAGAACAAACAAGTTTCTTTCTATGTTCTTTACAGTGACACAGCAACTGACATATCTCTTTGTGTCCTTGTTGAGAACTTTACCAAAGAGGTAGACATAACCCTTTTCTTTACGCTCATAGGCATCATACCACCACATTCTCACATGTCCATCTTGTTCAAAGATATTCATCGTTTGATTTTCTTCCTTGATTGTATCCTGAACAAATGTATCCACCATATTCATATCTGCGTCTTTCCAACTCTGAAGTCCCGGCTTTAGTTCTGTTGTGGCTTCCATGCTGAACGTTGATTTACTTTCTATTTGTTCAATATCCTCCACCTTGATATCATCCAACATCATATCATCGTCACCAAAGTCAGCGACTGGCATTTCTGGTTCAGGCTTAATATAAACAGGAGAGGGTGTTCTTGCTGTTTGAACAGGCTCTGATGATCGTACAGGCGGTGCTCGGTGCAATCGAGGCAGTGGTGCTGGTTTTTCTCTTTGTAAAGGCATTTTGCGTTCTGGTTTAGGTGCTTTGAACTCTGAAAGTAAATCGTTTAAAAAGTCATCGGATTCTGCAGCATCCACCTAGTCATAAAGAATTAGTTTATAGTGTTACTATCTTTGTATGTGTTTTTTACAGGCTTTGGCTTTGTGGGCTGCTTCGCTGTTTGCTTTTTTATCAAACTGCTTGAGAAAAACTTATTGATCTGTTGACTTGGCTTAACAGGCGCCTGTTGCTTTTGTTTCGTCATTCTCTTTCTTTTGCCTTTATAAGAAGGGATGTTAGACCATGTTTTCGTTATTTATTTGATTTTTTTTTTTTTACCACTACAGGTCGTTTCAGTCTCATACTCGTCAGAGTACTCATATTCTTCCTCTTCACCATTATCAATATATCCACCTTTATCATCATCCTCTACAAAGGCTTCATCGTCCTGAGTAAGACGATAATCGTCTACTTCTTCATAGAGATCGTCGACATTCTGGTGAATGTATAAATAATTGTACTCTTTTATGAGTCCTTGTTTACCTCTGCAGCTTTTGTTTTGGTTTTGCTTCTAATAGAGTCTCTTAATTTCTTAAGCCTATTGTCTCTTTCAGTTCGACTTGCTTGACTCATGACTTTAGAAACAAAAGAAAACAAAATTTGACTTTTTTTGCACGCGTGTGTCTAAGGTAACCGCGTTTTTTTTTTTGTTTTTTGTTTTTTTTAAATGGCGACGCGTGTTATCCCTTTTTTTGGAGAGCTGTCAATCTATCACTCTTTTTTTTCTATGTGCGGTATTCTATTTTCTTTATCAAGAAATGAGTCAAGTATTGATTCCAATGAATGGAATCAGCTTTTAGAATTAAACAAAAAGAGAGGCAAGTTTGTTTGTATTTTTTGATATGCGTTATTGAACAAAAAAGCACACACAGGTCCTGATTCACAGCAGTTGAAGACAATACACATTGACAACTTTAGTCTTCAGTTTTATTCAACTGTACTTCATCTCAGAGGATCAAGCGTGGTGCCACAGCCAATAGAGGAATCAGGAAATATCTTGTGTTGGAATGGTGAAATATTTGGTGGGATCTATGTAAGATGTTTGTATGTTGCTTGGTTGAAGCTTGGTTGAAGCTTACACTTTTTTAAAAAGGTAGAGCACGGACAGAATGATACACAGGTTTTGATGAGCCATTTGACAAAAGCAGATAGCCAAGAGGCCATCTTGTCTATTTTCTCACGCATTGAAGGACCTTATGCATTTGTATTCTGGCAAGCAGCTACCAAGAAGCTTTGGTTCGGTCGAGACTGTCTCGGACGCAGATCGTTGCTGATGCATCGTCAGTCGGATCTGCTTCTCCTTAGCTCAGTTGGACTTGTGAATGAAGCATGGGAAGAGCTTGCGGCGAATGGGATTTACTGTGTTGATATGACAAAGGAAGGATCGGACAATATTCAACTGTTTTCCTGGAGTCAAACAGATTTACCTGTAAGTTACTTTTGTTCATTGTATGTCAAAGAGAGGAGAAAGGGCTAAATTCCTATTATTAGTTGTTACCCTTTCCTAGATTGAATACGACACTACCTCAACATTTAAAAACGGTAGATAATCCTCAGCTTGCACCTGCCATTGATGAACAACAAGAACAGATAGTGGTTGATTTTATTCATGTCTTGAGCGAGTCAGTTAAATCGCGTGTGGCAGATATACCTCATTTAAAGTAAAGAAAAAAAGAGAGAGTTAAGATGAAAAAGCTCATATATATATATATATAGGCATAGTCATAGTGCAAGGGTAGCTATATTGTTTTCAGGTGGTATTGATTGCACAGTTTTGGCAGCACTAGCAGATCGCTTCTTGCCAGCATCAGAAGCGATTGATCTATTGAACGTGGCATTTGAAAACCCTCGAACTACGATGGTCAAGAACCGCACAAATAAAAAGAAGAATCAACCAGAGGAGCAAAGACCAGTCTATGACACGCCGGATCGTATCACGGGAAGAGCAAGTTTAGAAGAGCTGAAGAGCATTGCGCCTGACAGATGCTGGAATTTTGTAGAAATTGATGTTCCTTACAGTGAAGCGATGGAGCACCGTCAACATATTATAGATTTAATGTTTCCTTTGGATACAGTGATGGATCTGGTAAAATATAGTTTAATAAGCAAAAAAAAACTTTTCTTCTAATTTGATTAGAGTATTGCCATGGCATTTTGGTTTGCTTCTCGAGGCAAAGGTATTACACATATAGGTTTTTGCATTCATTTTATTTATTTTGTGTTTAGGAACAATACTTTGTGATGGAAAAAAACAAGTAATTATATATTATTTGTATGTAATCATATATTGATATGCTTATTTGCACCACAGCCATATCATAGTCAAGCAAGGGTACTACTATCTGGACTAGGTGCTGATGAACAACTGGGCGGTTATTCAAGACATCGTGAAGCTTTCCGACATGGAAGCTGGGAACGACTTATTCAAGAGGTTTTTTTTTTTTTTCGAAAATGAACTGAAGTTAAATCATTACTGACCCTCCTTTTTTTAAAATAGACACAGCTGGATGTTGACAGAATATCAACCAGGAACCTTGGCCGAGATGATCGTATCATGTCGGATCACGGAAAAGAGGTCCGTTTCCCTTTTCTGTGTACAGACGTAGTCAAATGGCTATGTAATCAGCCCATTCATTTCAAGATGGACCTACGGTTCGAAAGAGGAATTGGAGAAAAGCTTTTACTGAGACAAGCAGCTCATAAGATAGGACTTTTGTCAACCAGCAAGAATTGGAAGAGAGCTATCCAATTTGGTGCAAAGACAGCCAAGATGACTGAATCAAGTAGATCAGAAAAGGGACAGCATAAGTTAACATAATAAATAGCTTTAATTTTAAAGAAATGAACAAATCGCCTGCTTATAGTCTGAATGCACATAGTCCCATAACTCGTTTTTTGTAAGCCATGCAAAATCCACAATCTCCTTTTGGTCTGGTTGACACTGTCCTGATATCCAATCGGCCCTGAAAAAAGAAACCTTTGTATCCTCCTTTTAATACTGATCCTGTATATATATATATATAAATATTATGTCTTACTTGAGCTCCAATGGACTTGCGTTCGTGGCTTTCTATAAATTCCTTTGGAAATTTATACTTGTATGTACCGACAGGGTCATGTCTATCTATCAAGCGAACTGATAATTCTTCACCACACTCCTCTCTTAGCTCACGTAAAGCGGCCTCTGCAGGCGTTTCACCTTCGTCTTGACCTCCCTGAGGAAACTGCCACGCGTGGTCTTTTCGGGGCTTTTTGACAACTAGATAAAGCACCTCATTTGGTATACGAGCGAGATCTTTCAAGTTTCCATTTCCAGGTCCATTGTTTGCTTTGAGAGGTAATCGTCGTAAAATGAGAGCAGAGACATTACGGTAGACTGTCATTTTTTTTTTTTTATTTTTTTTAAAAAGAGGGGAGAATTCATATATGTGGTTTATTTTTACTTTTACTAATGAGCCATGTTCAAGAGACTATAGATCCTCAGGATCTTTTCTCACAGTTTGATCCAACGCTCTTTTTCGAGAATCCTGTACCATGTAATGAATGGTATATTCTTGCAGAACAGATCGTTCCTACATCAGTTGCATCTTTTTGGGAGACAATAGTAAAGAAAAAAAAAAAAAAAAAAATAAATGTACTAAGTGTGCATTAGAAGCGCTGGACAGATGAACCTGAGTTAGTTATTCCGCCTATTGAGAAAGCTAAAATTATAACTATAAGCGAAAAGGATGGTATACAAGTTATTCAAAGGGAACTTGTTCCCAAGCGTAAATCAAAGGATACCAATTTGATTGAAGAATTGACATACTATAAGAATGGTACTGTATATTTTGTATAAACATGATCTTTTTTTTTTTTTAAAAAAAATATGAACAGAAAGAGAAGCAAGAGTCGTCTATAGACCTATGGTAGATTGTGAAAAGCTGCCTTTTTATTATCCAAAAGTAAAGATCATATATATATAAATGTGCGTAAGCATACTGATCCATATTTCAAGGTTAAATCATATAGCTTAACATATCAACACTTGGAAGAGCAGGAGTAAAGAAGAAAATGTGATCTATATAATACGCTTCCCTTATTGTTTGATATAGTAGAGGACTTTTGAAACTCCAAGTCATTCCTTGTGATAAAACTCAGTTGTTGATGTCTTCTAAGCAACAGTATGCGATGAAGACTATATTGCATAAATTATTCAAATGGTGTATTCAAAGCCGATTAGGATACAAAAAGAGAGCAAATCATGATGCTTTGGTACCAAAGGAGGTCTATCAATCCATGTATCATCATCTCAAGTCAAAATATGGACCTTATTTAGTAACGTAATTTGTAATAACTTTCAAAGAAACACATTGTGCTAATGACTGTGTCTTTCTATTTAGAAATTGGATAGAAAAGACAGATCCCAAAAAGTTTGTTTATGAGGATATAGCCATTGCTAGTTACTTGTTATGCTTATGGAAGGGTGAAGAAGATAGATTAAAAAGGTAATAAAAATGACTATAGTATTTAAATTCCAAACTTATAATGGGGCAGAAAGCCAAACTTTGTTGACCTTGGTTGTGGTAATGGCCTGTTGACATTCTTGTTGAATAGCGAAGGTTATGAAGGGTATGGTATTGATATTGCAGCGCGTAAGATATGGTCAGTGTTAGGCAAAACTAAAAAAGATATGCTAAGGGGTAACCTTAAATGATATACATGGGTCTAGACATAGGGCTAATATTATGCATATAGTTCAGGTGTTATACCCGTCGCAAGCAAGATACTCTGAGGCAGATTGGCTAATTGGTAACCATGCTGATGAATTAGTACCATGGTAACAAAAAAGAGAGCAAGAAAGAGTCGAGTTTCTGACTGTTTTGCGAGTAGGATACCAATCATTGCTTCAAAATCAGGAGAACATTGCAAGTAAGATACACATGTGTAATGAAAAAGGAGGAAGTAAATAATCATCTTTTTCAGTTTTATGGTTATCCCTTGCTGCTTTTATGGCCTTGACGGGACAAAGGCATTATCGCTTGCTGTTTCCGAAGGCGAAGGAAAGTATAGGGCGTATACAAACTATGTCAAGGATATTGCTACAAAGTCAGGATTTATATGCGAAGAAGATTTCCTTAGAATACCGAGCACAAAGAACATAGCACTCATCGGCAGACGCAGATCAAATAGCATTGATGTGCCTTTCCTGACAGAAGCTGAGTCTAAAGTGTTTGTGCCTAGAAAAACAGATAGACAGAAAGACGAGGAAAGAAGGGAGGCAAAGAGAACAAAATTTTTAGAATAAAGAGAGAGAAAAAGCATCCTTTTTTTTTTTATTGATTGATCAACCAAACTATTATTAAATTGATAGTTTGATACCACTTGCTTTCTTCTTTTTCTCTCTTTCTTTTTTCTTTTTCACGTTTTCTCGATCTTTAACATATTTAATGAAGGCTAATTTTATAATCTTGTTTATTTTGATATTACTTTACACTGCTGATATCTCTTGTCAATTATTAAATAATGTCTCTCAAGTAATAGATCATATCACTTCAGATAAGAACCATGCAACAAATTCTGATCAGTCAAAGTCCAGTGTTAATAGTACTCCTTCACCACTCCCTCCAACCTCTCCTCAATCTCCCCCTGCTTCAAATGAGCCAAAGAATCCAGCGACAGCTGCTCCAGAGCCCACTACATCGCCTGCTCCACCACCACCGTCTCCGTCTAACCCACCATCTCCCACAACTAACAAGAAGGACCCACCTTCGCCTGATGCTACGACCACTAAAAAATCTTCAGAAACTCATTCTGCTGAGCCTCCTAAAGCATCCGAAGACAAGAACATTCCAGGATCTCCTGGTGCTATAAACACTATGACTGCTACTTCAAGTCCCCAAGCTACTCCTGGCGAAACAAAAGCAAACAAGGGCAAGAGCAGCATGACTGCCTCAGCAGCAGACGATGACATGTCTTCTTCAACTGGAAAACCAACGAGCGCACCTACCTCTCTTGTGCCCAAACTGGGAGCATCGACAGATGGTGACGATAATAACAAGACAGGGCCTATAGTAGGTGGTATCCTTGGCAGTATAAGTAAGTTTTGTACATGGAAAAAGGTTTCAAAATAACTAATCTTGTTAAACATAAAAGTGGGTTTAGCTCTTATCAGCGGTATCTTTACATGGATCAATAGACGTGGAGGGTGTACCAGAAAGAGTAGGTCAAAACCTGAATTTGAGGATTATGGACTAGCTGATACAGATTTTCCTCACAATCATACACCTGCCATGCAGAATATGGCCTCCACACCAAACGTTGTCTCGCCTACAATCCCAAAGTTGAATGAGCAAGGAAACTTTTATACAAATGAGGATCAGCAATATATGGCACCTTATCAAATGTCTGAGCCGTATCCAGGTTCTCCAGAACATCAACCATATTACTATCAAGGCCAGCAGCAGCCATTACATGATGGAGTATACTATAATGAAAATGGTTATTATTATGAGAGTACCAGCCCTCATCAACCTCAAGTCGTAGCTGCTGATTACTACCCAATTCAACAACAACAACAACAACAGTATTATCCTCAGACAGATCAATATTATACAAATGTAAATTATTATAAACCAGATCAGGTTACTGATAATACACATCATGCGTAAATAAAAAGATGGTTTATTTTTTATGTCTATTACTGCTATTATCCTAAAGAGAGAAAGGAGAGTACGGAGCTGAGGATAGATAGATATTTAAGGAGAAAAAGGGAGATGATACATATATATGTATATATTTGAAGAGAGAAAGAAAGAAAGAAAGAGGGAATACGATTTATTCACATGAATTTATGCATAAGTTAAGTAAATGTAAAAGAAACTTATTGAGAAGGTTCATAAATAAAGTCAGAGGACTGTGAGCTACCAGGCATATCTGGGAAGGGTGGAATGGGTGTCAATTTTGTTATTTGATTCCTATTGATGATTCTGTTACGACACATGGCAACGATCTCGCGCGCATGTTGTTGATACCAAGTTTTCTCAGAGATGGTCATGTTCCATCCACTCCTCAGATTAGAGTGACCAAATTTCTTTCCATAAAGAAAGGTGAACGGAACAGTAAACACCCAGAAACAGGTGATGAACATGAGTATCTTGAAAACGATATTGTCAACTATACAAGACACCCAATTGTTAGGCTTGACAATAATCTCTTCTTTCTCTGTCTTGAAGGTGATCTCAATGCCTTCAAATTCTCCAGTGCTGCGAATGGCATTCTTGAGAGCTTTTCATAAAGATTGGTAAGGGAGCTTTTTATGATCATTTCTAAATTTACCTTCAGCGAGTTTCTGAAAGTCCCAGTTAATTTCTTTTGTCAATTTAAGTTCTTTCAGCACGTTCTTAGATCGAACATAGTCATTACAAAGCTGTCTAACTTTGGGCGTTGTTTCGTTATTATTTGGCAAGACGTATATGCCTTGAGAACTGGATGATACATATTGACTGGTGTCGATTTTGAAATCAAAGCCGTCTACACGTTGAGTCTCTGATACATGGTCTGTCTCTTCTTCTCCTTGATAGTTACGTCTCGTCTTGGTGACCCATCGTGTTTCTTCGCAAAAACCTTTATATATATATATAAAGCATGAGCATAGTTTTTAGGATGTATCTATTTTTAATTACCTTTAAATCGTATGATAAGAGTTGGGGGCGTGTTATGCTGATATAAAAACTGCAGCAGAGCCTCTGGATCTTCATTTACGTGCCTGTCTCGAGTTCTGACCTTGCCTTTGCTTGTAACTCTATACTCTGCCATATGCACAGAGTATCCTGGTGGTGGATTATATTCTTCATACTCAAGTTGGTGGTCGTCTGGTAACATCACAATGGCATGATCCGTTGGTTCTGATCCAGTTTGTAAGTTACATGAGGCATCTTCTGCATCGCCTACGCTTGGATCAATGTATACATGATCATTGTTCTTTGATGAGGATGTTCCTACTGTGGACTGTGGCTCCGTTGTCAAGCTCTTATAAGGCGGTAATTCAGACACGGCATCTTCAAAAGGTGCTGCAGAAGAAAAGGCATCATTTGGCTCGTTTGCAGAGATAGTAGGCGATGCGGGTAGTTGAATGTAATCTTTCTTTGTAGGCATTGAGGATATTTAAGCAAGAAAGAAAAAGTGCGGTGCCAAGCATTTCTTACTCGTTCTCTATTTATAAGAATAATCCTTACACAAACATCAGTCGATACTTTGCGCCACATACAGAGGCGCTTAGTGTAACGCCAAGATTACAGCTGCATACCAAGAAATGCTTCGTAGTTTTTTTTTGGTGTAAGGATGGGTCTCTGTGATGTTCATTTAACAGCAGAATGACATAACAAAGGAGAAATATATCTCACACAAAAGTAATGGTAACGATCTTGTTTATTTTCTCTGAAAAAGAAATCCCTTTTTCTGTTATATATGCTTGATCTGATTGATTTAGTGCGTATCAAACAATTACATCCAAATGACTGAAAATGAGATCGATGAATTGAAAAGACAAAGCGGTTCAGCCTATTGGGATGAACAAATCAGAGCTTCCTTAATCCAATACCTTGCTTCAATATATATGATACTTGACTTGAATGTAGTGTCACAGGATGTTTTTGTTCAAAAGTAAAACGCACTGAATTTGGGTCTCATTAGAAAGACTTGTTCTTGTCAACCACGCACATAGGCTTTGGTCGAGATGAACAAGAAATGATGAAACGTAGCGGAAGCAAAGGAGTGTATAAACAACAAAGCTATAATATTGGTAAACTATTGATAAAGTCTGCCTAAAGTTGTGGTCGCTGGCAGCTAATGATGTAAAGGCCATAATGGACAGCATTGGCAACAAGAAAAGGGATTAACAATGGATAAAAGAATTGAAAGGCTCTTTGTTGTTAAATTGACAAAAACCAAAACATCAACAAGAATATTTTTATTGGCAAGTAACATTGTTCTAGAAGATAGGCTTTTTCAAATTTTAAACTAGACTTTAACCTCGCATGATTTATTGATAAGCAAGTCAGGACAGAAACCTCCATTTAAACAATAGTGGTGACCTATTCTTTGCATTAAAGAAAAAAAGGGGTGAAATAGTGATTTTAAATATATATGTTTCCCCCCTCTTTGCTTTTCTTTTTTTTTGATTGATTATTCTTTTCATATTCTGTTTACAACTTGTATCAATAAGGTTACATTGATGCATACCAACTTGAGGAATCTTTTGTTCAAAGAGTGATTCACATTCTCTTGCTTGATTGGCTGAAATATGAGGGTAAAGTCAGTCACTTTTTTTTTTTTTTTTATTATTATTCCACCATGTCGTTGTCCGCAGTTTTTTCCCTTTTTTTTTTCTCTCTTGTCGAAAAACTTTTTTCTATAAACTCTTTACATCTTCCTTTTTTTTGAAACAAGAAAAGAAAGAAAGTATCATATAAAAAGGAAGTCTAAACACATTTCTAAAGGACAAAAAAAAGCTTTATTTTTCACTCTAAACTTGTACATGAATTGTGCATTATCAAACTGGAATCCCAAATACGAAGAAAGTATAGAGAAATACCAATTACAACATTTTAAAGTAAGAGAAATATGACTTTTTCTTTTCTCTCTTTCTTAACCACTTTTTTAATCAAAGGATTACAATTAAATTACACATTTATAAACCAACTTTCCAATAATTCAAAATGGCTACAATTAACGTAAGACGTGATGTTCAAGATTCTTTTTATCGTTACAAGATGCCTCGTATTCAAGCCAAGGTAAAAAAAAAAAAATACTTTTTCTTTCTTTCTTATTCACAATAATTAGGTCGAAGGTAAAGGTAATGGTATTAAAACTGTTGTTGTCAATATGGCTGATATTGCTCGTGCCTTGTCTCGTCCTCCTTCATGTAAGTAAAAAAAAAAAAAAAAAAGATAATAAAGCAGTCTGTTTGCTCATGATCAATCTCTAGACCCTACCAAGTACTTTGGCTGTGAATTGGGTGCTCAAGTCAAGTGTGATGATAAGAATGAACGCTACATTGTGAATGGTGATCATGACGCAAGCAAGCTTCAGGATACACTTGATGGTTTCATCAACAAATTTGTCTTGTGTCAATCTTGTAAAAACCCTGAAACTGATATTCTTATCAAGAATGACGAAATCTTAATGGACTGTAAGGCATGTGGTGCTAGAAACACTGCCGACATGCGTCACAAATTATCCACTTATATCATCAAGAATCCTCCTGCTGTTGCTTCCAAGAATGTTCGCAGACAACGTAAGGCCGCTACTGCTCAGACCAACAACACAGGTGAGGATGCCGCTGAAGCCATTGACGGTAGTGATGAAGCTGCTGATGCCGGTAATGGCTCCGATGATGATATCATTTCTCAACGTATCCAAAAGCAAGCCGCTGGATTGAACATGGAAAGTAAATTGGCGCTTGAGGATTGGTCTGAAGATACAAGTGAAGCAGCTGTTGCTCAGCGTATGAAGGAGCTTAGCATCAAGAGAGGTGGTGCATTTGGTGGAGGTGATGACGACGATGAAGAAGTTGACAACAAATATGATGCTTTTGGTGACTGGTTAGAAGGCCAAAAGAATCTTTCTGATGAAGCTATCATTGAAAAGGCTGAAGAATTGGGTGTTTATGGAAAATACAAGGCTTGTCTCGTCTTGGTTCAATGTATCTTTGATGAAACTGTTGTCTCTCAAATCCCCAAGCGTGCTAAACTTCTCCGCAAGTTTGTGACCGACGAAAAGCATCAAAAGGCAACTCTTGGTGGTATTGAGCGTCTTATTGGCTTGAAGCACAAGGATGCGCTCTTGAAGAAGACACCTACCATCTTGATGAAATTGTATGATTTGGATATCATTGAAGATGAAGTTTTCTTGAAATGGGGAGAAAAGCCCTCTAAGCGCTATGTTGACCGTGACATCTCCAAGGAGGTCAAGAAGGCCGCCAAGCCCTTCTTAGAATGGCTCGAAACCGCTGAAGAGGAAGACTCTGATGAAGAATCAGAATAAATACAGTAATAAATAGATAAAGTTATCTCCTATTTTTGATGCCCGTTTCTATCAATATTTAAGATTATTTATCATAAGTTCTAATGTGATGATAAACAAGTAACTGACAGTGAGGGAAAAAAAAAGGAGGGGAGAAGAAGAATGAAAAGGGAGAATAAAGATTACAGAAACTTATAAAAAGTATCATGCTTTTTTTTATGAATAAATCTATTTTAAGCATAATATCTACCATGTTTTATCAAAGACCGGTCTATGCATTGTAATAATGGCTTGCCTTATCTTGCTCGTGTGTGTATGTATATGGCTAATGAGGTGTTAAATGTCCAAATTACACACATCACACACTAAAGTCAACATAAAAGCCCATCTGTATGAATATAAAGTTTCACATTTCTATGTTTGTGTAGATCGATCCAGAATTAGTATATGTGTGTATTAGTTTTTTGTTTATTCACGTAGGCTTGGTTGGGTGCAATCTTAACTTTAAAAGGATTTACAGGAAGCATCCTCTCAGGGAGTGTGCATATGGTGATTTAAATATAAAGTCATGAAACATGCTTAGGAGGAAACAAAACATTATGAAAAGGGCGAAGGACAATAAATAAAGGGGAATAGCTTTGAAAGGAAAAAAAGTGGCAAGGAAAAAGTAACAAATATCATAACAAATATAGTACACTGCAATGCATTACACATACATTTTCATCGATTCAAGATACATAAAATTTAGGAGGCACATATAAAGACGATATACATATATACATTTTCTTCTATAGGAACAAATGGACGATGATAAACCACCATATATAGTACTCGGTGCATATATTAACTCGTATATTTTTTCCTTTCCCTTCTTCTTCTTCTTCTTCTCTTTCTTTCTTTATAACTTTATTCATTTCAAATACATGGGCTTACTCAACTTCAAAAAGTCGTCCCGAAAGCAAGGGCAAAAGCCTTCTCCGACAAACCCTGTTACCGAGCCAGATCGAGCCTCTATTCTCCTTCATGAATTCAATTACTCTTCCCCTACTATAATTCCGAAGCCATCGGAAACGAGCTTAATGGACGATATAATGCAAGAATTGGCTGCTACATCGTTTGCTACACCAAATGATTCAAGCCGACCTATTTTCCCTGTTCGCTCTTCGCCGCCTACTCCAAGGCCATTGAGGACTCCTTTATTACATTTTGATCAAGCTCCACAGAGTCCTTCATCTACGAATTCCCCTACTACACCCAATGATAATACACCTGTTGTTCCTACTATTCCTGCTGTTACATCTGCATCAGAGGCAAGGGTCGTGCCTCCTAGACCCCTTATTTCGTTCACCAATCAGCCAAATATTCATAGTGATGATGACGATAGCGATTCTGATTCAGAAGTGCAACAACGGCCTCAAGTTCAACCACACCCAGTGCTTAGACAAAGGCATTCTGCACCTCTCTCGAATAAAACATTGATGACTCGTATGAAAGAAAGGCATCGACAAGAAGTCAGGAAGACAATGGCTTCCTTTAAACAGGAGGGAATCAGTCCATCGCCCTCTATGCCTGTGATGTTTTCTGAAAAACCTAAAACTCTTGTTCAATCACAATCATTTATCATACCTAATAATAACAATCCCTTCCCGTCAGTACAGCCTCAGGGCAGGCTTGTTCGATCGACATCTGTTCTAACCAACATGATGCCAATCCAGGTAAGTTTTTCTAATTTTTTTTTTATTATGACTCTTATTTTCCTTGTAACAGACACAGTCTGATATAACTGTATTGACAAGGCATCCGCCTTTACCTTCATCCCCTTCATTCATTCGCCAGTCTTTTGTTCAATCACCCGTGCATACGTTGCCTGTGACAACCGAAGAAGATGAAGAAGAACAAGTGTCTGCAGGCAGTAAAAAATTCCAGATCAACCGGTCCGTTTCTGCATACCCTAGTTTCCCTCAAGCAATGCAAGAACAACAGCAGATAATAAGACAACAGCAGCAAGAAGAAATGAAATTGAAAATTGAACTACAAGAGATAAAAAGACAACAGGAACTACAGTTCCAACAGGAGATACAAAGACGACAGCAGCAGGTCATTGTTCAGCAGCAACAGCAGTTACAGCAGCTACAACAGCAGCAGCAGCTTATGATGCAGCAACAACAGTTTCAGCAACAGCAGCAACAACAACAAATTTTATTACAGCAGCAGCAAATCCACAAACTGCAGCAGTCTTCACTTGAGATGGCTAAAGCAGCAGCAACGGCAGCAGCAGCAGCAGCAGCTTCTACAGCTAGTCAAAAATCTAAGCCAGCACATCGTCCATTATATGAACGAAGCAGTGGCATTCATAAACACAAGCAGAATGGCCATGATGCTCACCATCACAACCACCATCATCATCATGATCACCACTGCAGTCATAATAATAGTAACAGCCCTAATAATAAATTGGTGGTTATGCCGCACGTGGTTCCCTCATCGCCATTTACCCCTGAATTTGTAAAATATCAAAATGAAAATAACGATGATGAAGAAGACGTGTATGATGAAGAGAGTCTATTATCACCAACGACAGTCAAGGTCAATAAATCAGCGAGGTCCTCGACAAGTACGCTCATACTGAAAGAAGAGTCAAATGAACAGATGGAGGATAATGAAAAGACGAGTTTTAAATTGCCGATCAAACTGAAGCGAGAATTGGAAGACATGCAATTAAGTCGTTCCATCTATTCTGTACCTAATTTATCAAGCTTGTTGGCCGACGTTCAGCCTGGCTGTCATCGCGTGTGGGGGGTGATGGATGCGTTTGGTACAAAGAGTGCTATAAAGAAAGAAACCAAGACAGCCAAGGAGACGACTGCCGTGGCAACAGGTGCGCCCGTGTACTTGTATTATCTGAACGATTGTCATCATAATCATCATGCACATCATTGCCACAAGGAACACCATAAGAAAGTGCACAAAAAGCACCACCACTGTCACCGTTCGTCATCAAAGTATACACTTGTTGAAGATGGTGCAGTTGGAGCATAGCCCCAAAGGATATTTATTTTTACGTTTAATATAGTTAAGCTAATATCGTATTATTTTATATATAAAAAATAAAATCTATTTTTGGCATTGAGTCTAGTGCCCTTTATTCTTTCAACCTTTATTATTATTATTATTACCAGGATTGAGTATCTTGATGTAAAGGTGGTTTATATGTATACAAAATATGCGTTTTCTTAGGTTTTATCTTTCGATCGAGACTAATGCGCATGGGGTTGCTGTATAGTCTTGTCTTTTTCTTTGGAAACTACAACGAGACACCACTCTTTAAGAAATGCAAAAGAACGATACTAAGATAAGCAAAACTGTTTTGGATGAAAGATTAATCTACTGTTTAGAAATTAAGGCCTTACTAGATTATATGTTTCAATGAATCAAGCAACTAAAACGCACTTTAGATGCAATAACAACTGTAAAAATATACCATTAAACTGTGCCCTGAATAATTTGTATTAAATAACGTGAGTAGATGAATAAAAGGGCGTCAAAAATTACTTAAAATGGAAATAGCCTTCTTTTTACAACTTTGGGTCAGTAAACAAGAGAAAAATTTTTTCCCTTTAAACAATATAAATTAATAAGCTTCATATTCTATTATTTTTGCTTTCAAGGCGAGACCCTTCTTTCTCTTATTTTTTGGCTTATTAAACCAATTCTACAATTTCCTTTTTTGGAAGAGTATTTCTGGAACAGATGTTGCTTAAAATAAACTTTCCATATTAATTAGGTTACTGGTGTTACCAACTCCAAAAAATTATTCTTGATATTACACAAAGAAATCTGTTGTGCTGTAATAGAAAAAAAAAAATGGGCAAAAGAGAAAGAAACTCAACATCCTTCAAACTCGTTTTTTTTTTCTTTCTTTTTTTCTTTTCTTTTTTTCTTTACTCTTCTTCTACGAAAAAGAAAATGAAGAAGTCAAGAAAATCAAATTTAAAAGAAGATGATTCAAATAGAATAGATGTGTCTACTTTATCAAATACATCAAGTGAAAGCATCACTAGCTGTCTACGCTCAAGATATAATGAGCTCAAGATATACACCAATGTTGGCTCTCGTCATATCATTGCTTTAAATCCATTGAAAGAGTTGCCAATGAATGATGATCAAGCAAGTTTAGAATATGTAGCAGCATATAAGGATGCAACAGGACATAAGCAAACACCTGATCCTCACTTGTTCGATCTTATCAATCGAACTTATTTTCATATGAGAAGAACAGGAAGTGATCAAGCGATCATGTTAAAGTAAGCCCAAAAAAAAATAAAAGATAAACTTGACATTAATTTGATTGTTATATATAATTAGGGGAGTAGCCGGCAGCGGCAAGTCCGAAATTCGTAGATTGACCATCCGCCACCTTGTACGACTGAGTAGTCATAAGAAGGAATCCAAAGTACAAACGCAAATTATAGAATCACAAAAAGTGCTCGAAGCCTTTGGTCATTGCCAGACAAATACAAGCTCATCAGCATCTCGTTTTAGTTACTATGGTGAAATTCAGTTCAATGAAAGAGGCAGAATGGTGGGCTCAAAGACACTTCATTATTCCTTGGAATCTTCTCGTGTTACAAACTCTAGTATAACGACTGCTTCGGATGGAAATTTCAATATATTTTATTATTTATTAGCTGGTGTATCTCCAGATGAAAGGTCCACTTTACAGCTAACCGATCCATCAAGTTATCCCTATCTACAAAAATTCAAGAGACCTGTATTACCAACGGACTCTCAGCGCTTTGAAGATCTAAAGGTTGCCATGAAACACTTGGGCTTCAAAAAGGAACAGATTGGAAGAGTGATCCAGTTGGTCGCTACTATACTCCATCTTGGTAACCTCAGCTTCGTAGACCCAACCGGTACCGGTACACAGGAAGCCGCTTTTGTCAAAAATGCCGAGTTACTTGATCTTGTCGCTGATTTCCTGGGTCTCGATCCTCATGCGCTTGAAAATGTACTGACATTTAAAACGACGATGATTCGCAAGGACATTACTACTTTAATTTTAAATGCACAACAAGCTGCTGAACAGCGTGATGAACTATGTCAAGTGCTCTATTCCCTCTTGTTCTCTTGGATCGTTGAAAAAATCAATAGCAAGACCTGTACAGAGGAATTTAACAGCTTTATCGGTATCTTGGATTTCCCAGGCCTTCAATCGTATTACCCAGTAGCAGGCTTTGAACAACTTTGTGTCAACTTGGTCAATGAGCGCATACAACAATATATGGATCAAACCCTATTCCAGGTGGAAACAGATGTTTTCAGAGCTGAAGGTATTCACGTGCCCGATATCAACTATCAATCAACAGCCCTAGATCTCTTGACCAGGCCCAAGGGTATCTGCCACGAAGTGAACACAATGACAGACGTCTCTAAGCGTGCATACACTGATAACAACATCATGGACTCCATAATCAAATTCAATTCAACACATCCTGCTTTTTCTGTCAAGAATTCAGACACAAATGCTCGTCATTTCGTCGTTCAGCACTTTGGAAATACACCTGTCGAATACTCCACCGAAGGCTTTATCGCACAAAACAACAACCAGATTTCTGTCGACTTCTTATCTCTCTTCAAGGGCGGAATGGATGTACAGCCCTCTTGGAACTCATTTGTCGTAGAATTGTTTGCTAATGTAAAGACGCAAAGCCACCCCAAACATACCACCGCGATCATTTCGGCTCAACAATCCGCTAAGCCGATGAGAGCGCCCTCTCAGCGCAAATCGACGCGTAGAACAAATGGTAATAATGGAAGTAACGAAAAAGGAGGATCCGACGGTACAGGTCCAACCACTGTCCTGGCACAAATACAATCCGCGTTGGATGAATTGATTGAGTCGCTTGGAGAAGCTAAGCTATGGATCGTCTACTGCATATTGCCAAAACTTAAAGAATCCGGTAATTTTGATACCAAGTTGGTACAATCTCAAATAGATATGTTCAAGATACCATCACTGCTTCAGCTTCCCACTATACAGTATGTTGAATCGTACGAGCATCATGAGTTTTTAGAACATTATGGACATCTGTTTGAAGGATTAGATACCACACGATTACTTCGCTCTCAATGTGAAATGGCTGCTGGTATCATGGGTTGGACAGCCCCCAACATGTCTATTACACAAAACAAGGTAACTACTTTTGTGATCTCTCTGTGTGTGTGTTTTTTTTTTGGTATTTATTTTCATTTTTAGGTCTTTTTGAGTGCAATCGCATGGAGAGAATTGGAAGATAAACTACGTTCGTATGAGAAGGTCGAGCAGCGTCAAGCCAAAGACAGCAATAAAGAAGGAGACACGGGCAGTGTATCACATCCATTTGCAGCAGCAGCAGCAGCTGCAGGTCTTCCTCTGCCCCCTCAAAACTACTACGACAACGATCACGGCTCATTCTATTCAGAAGACGAATCTGGTCAATACATGGAGCAAGAAGGATCATTCTACGGATCAGAATCGTACGGTAGTCACCAGGGAGGATTAGCGCTCATTCCTCAACAGGCGCCAGTGATAGAAAACATAAATGAAACCGAAGAGGACGAAACCAAAATGAGTGCAGGCCGAAAGCGCTGGCTATTCTTTGTCTATTTTTGCACTTGGTGGATTCCTTCCAAATTCTTGGTCTGGTGTGGTCGAATGAAGCGTAAGGATATTCGTGTCGCCTGGCGTGAAAAGGTGACACTGTGTATGATTATCTTTTTGATGTGTGCCTTTGTTATCTGGTTCTTGGTCTTCTTTAGTGAAGTGATCTGTCCCAAACAGCATATATACTCGCTTGCCGAATTAGCAAGTCATGACAAAACTAACTCTAAGGGCGCCTATGTTGCTATACGCGGTGAAGTATTTGATCTTACCAAATTCGCGCCGCATCATTATCCTATGAACCTCGTACCTACCTCATCTGTGATGGAATATGGTGGACAGGACGTGACCAACCTGTTCCCCGTTCAGGTATCTGCTTTATGTCCAGGTGTATCAGAGTTTGTCTCTTTAGATTACCAGATCAACTTGACAGACACAAACGGTCAATACCACGACTTTAGATATTCGTCTGATGTATATAACCCCAACTGGTACTATGATCAGATGACAATGCTCCGAAAGAACTACAAGGTGGGAAATATGGGTTATGAGTACAAGGCTATCTCAGATCAAGCTTCGGCAGCCACGACCATCAATGGTATCAAGGCCTTACGTATCTGGGCTGTTATTAATGACAGAATCTACGATCTCACTTCGTATACTATGGGTGGACGATATGCGCGTGGCCCTCCTGGAACGACACCACCTGCAGATATCAATCCAAACTTTTTGAGCCAACAAGTGGTTGATCTATTTCAGCAACACTCGGGACAAGATATCACCAACGCTTTTTATAATCTGAATCTTGACCAAGCAAGTCTGCAACGAGAGCTCGTCTGTCTTCGAAACCTGTTCTTTGTGGGATATGTCGATTCAAGAAATTCAACTAAATGCCAGTTCTCAGAGTACCTCTTGCTTGTTGTTACTTGTCTTTTAGCCGCCGTCATCGTCTTCAAGTTTGTAGCCGCTATTCGATTTGGCGGTAAGCGTGCGCCCGAAGAACACGACAAGTTTGTCATTTGTCAAGTGACATGTTATACTGAAGACGAAGAATCGCTACGAAAGACTATAGACTCCATTGCTCGACTTCATTACGATGACAAGCGTAAACTGTTGTTCGTCATCTGTGACGGTATGATTGTGGGTAGTGGTAACGATCGACCTACGCCTCGTATTGTCCTTGACATCTTGGGTGTTGATCCCCAAGTGGATCCTGAGCCTCTGTCTTTTGTCTCTGTTGGTGAAGGAAGCAAGCAGCACAACATGGGAAAGATCTATTCTGGCTTGTATGAAGTGGCCGGCCATGTCGTGCCTTACATTGTCGTGGTCAAGTGCGGTAATCCTCGTGAACGCCAGAAGCCAGGTAATCGTGGTAAGCGAGACTCTCAGCTGGTCCTCATGCAGTTCCTCAACCGTGTTCACTATGATGCACCTATGAATCCTCTACAGCTCGAGATCTATCATCAGATGAAGAATGTTATTGGTGTCAGTCCGGAATTCTATGAGTTTGTTCTCATGGTTGACGCAGATACAGAAGTGATGCCAGATGGTCTCAATTACCTTGTTTCAAGTGCGGTACATGATTCAAAAATCATTGGTATCTGTGGTGAGACAACACTCGCAAACGAGAAGGATACCTGGGTAACGATGATTCAAGTATATGAATACTTTGTCTCCCATCACCTCATCAAGTCGTTTGAATCTCTCTTTGCCACTGTCAGTTGTCTTCCAGGTTGTTTTACCATGTATCGTATTCGTACTGTCGATGGTAAGCGTGCTCTCTTTATCAGCAACGAAATTATTGCCGACTACTCTGTGAATGTCGTCGATACATTACACAAGAAGAACTTGCTGCATCTTGGTGAAGATCGTTATCTGACCACGTTATTATTGAAACACTTTGCTAATTTCAAGACCAAGTTCAATTCAGATGCTCAATGTAAGACGAATGCTCCCGACACATGGTCCGTCTTGGTTTCTCAACGTCGTCGATGGATCAACTCTACGATCCATAACTTGGGTGAACTTGTCTTCTTACCTCGTCTCTGTGGTTTCTGTTGTTTCTCGATGCGTTTTGTCGTTTTACTTGATTTGATCAGTACAGCAGTCATGCCTGCACTCTTGGGTTATTTAGGCTATCTGATTTATACCTTGGCTACTTGGGAAGGCAGTGTGCCGATCATTTCCATTGCTACGATTGCCGGTACTTATGGTCTTCAAGCTTTGTTGTTTATCATCAAGGGTCGTTGGGAATTTATCATGTGGATGATTGTTTCCTTATTCGCCATGCCTGTCTTTTCATTCTATATTCCCATCTATTCTTACTGGCATTTTGACGACTTCTCATGGGGTAACACACGTATCGTCGTTGGTGAAAAGGGCAAGAAGGTAGCTGTCACGGCTGATGAAGGCACATTTGATCCTAAATCCATTCCTACCATGAAATGGTCAGAATATGAACAACAAATACTGTCAGAGGACCGTTGGAGTGATAATGTCTCTCAGAGCAGCGGTTATACCCACGGAAGCCGAGGCAATTATCCTCGTCCTGGACCTGGTTCTGTGTATGGTGCTGCTTCTGGTATGATGATGATGCCTGACAACATGAGCGTTCATTCATCGTCGCGAAGTGTCGCTCAACAACAACAACAAGCACGTCAAACTATGGGCTTTGATCACAACAGCATGATCTTCCCTTCATCCGCTTCTACACCTATGATGCCTTATACGAACAACAGCACGTCCATGCTTCCTTCTAGTCGATCCATGGCCTCATTTGCTCCTGCTCAACAATTCAATACGCCTGGTCAATACATTCCCATGCAGAACTCATCACAGTTCAATAAGGCTGGTAGTAGCCGTTCGCTGATGATGGACGGATTTAATACAGAGGGTCCCAAGAATGAGGAGATTATGCAGCAAGTACAACGTATACTTGAAACTGCGGATCTCACCAAGGTTACAAAGAAACAAGTGCGTGAAGAGCTACAAAATATCTTTGGTGTCTCTATGCAAAGCAGAAAAGACTATATTAATGCTTGTATCGAAAGCGTCTTACAGAATCGGGTATAAAACAACAGCATTTTTTTTTTTTTACCCACAAACACACACACAAATATAAAAAATACCCCTCTTTGTGTACGAAATAGATGTACAATAATAATAAAACTTTTTACTTTATATTTTTGTTGAAGCATATTGAGGGTATTTTTCTTGAATAGAGGCAATAGCAAAGTCAAGGTCATGACAGAGTGTTTGAATTGCTCTATCCCACTTGATGATTTCCAACATGGACTGCTCTACACGATAATTGGATTGCGCTCCACCAGGTACTGCACTGACAGCACCTGATTCCTCCTCTTGTGCTGCTCCACCTGATTCAAACGAAATGAGCTGCTCCAATTGATCAATGCTTCCAATCATTCTATTTTCTCCAATCATTCGTGCTGCTACCTGTTCTGCCTGCTCAGTTGATACGTTTAATAAAGTAGCCAGTTCATCCAATCGAATATTATTGTAAATCTTGGAAGCTGACAGCATATTATGTTCAATGATAGCACGGTCAAATACGGTTGTATTATCAGCCAAACGAGCCAAATGGTGAGGCTTTAACGTGCTGACGAACTCTGACACTTCGTCTGGACGAATGATACGTTCTAAGTATGTCTTTTCGAGAATAGCATAAGATGGAAGTTGATGTGTTCTTTCATCCTTGTATAACGTTGCTAATGTACACGATCGTTGTGGTCCAGCGCCTGCTAGTACAGCGCATTGTACCGCTGCTGTTCTATCAATAAAATATTAGTCTTAAAGCCCAAAGTAACATATATGTCTTACAAGCATAATATTCTCTCGTCTTCAGGTATTTCAGCAACATAGCTTAATTCATGATACTTTGAAGATGCTTCAAGGAACTTGCGCTTGGCATCAAGAATACGCGCTTGAGATAATTTGTAGGTTAGAGTTAATAGCGTGTCATTAGAGCTTGCAATGAGCAGTGCTGTACGATTAAGATAAGTTTCAGCCTGTATTGCCTCATCCTCTTCCAAAAGCAGTTTTACTATGCGCATATATATCTTTAATCTATATTCGTCCGATACCGCTCTATATATTAACCCCCATACGTGAGTTCATCTATGGAATATCATTTTTTTGTTTGGAAGTACCGATGACCAGAATCAAGTGGAATGCCTTGCAATGTTTTAGCTGCTTCCAAGTAATCGTCTTCACTTTCATAAACATCGGCGAGTTTTTCTCTTAATTGTGACAACTAGACAAAGAAAAAAGTGTCAACATTAAAACAAATACATATACATATACTTGCCGATTCTTCAAAGCTCACTGAACGAGGTTGGGCACGAGCAATAGCATAAAGCAAGAGTTGTTTTTGTGTCGAATGGTTTGTTATCTTTTGGTCAAACAAGGCAATGAAATCAGACAGAAGCTGTCTAGAAGCGACTAGACCCACTTGATCATTCAAGACAGCGTCAATATAACATTCCAAATCTTGTGTGTTGCTACTAGAAAGAAGAATGTCGTTCAATACAGAACTAAAGGCATCTATCTTTTCTTTTTGTTGTGGAATGGAGAGACACTCTTGTAGTCGTATTTGCAAGTTCATGTTTTTAAAGAGAGAGAGAAAAAGAGAAAATCACTTTATTTAAATTATTATTTTTATGCGGGTATCATTTTGTTTTATAAGCTATTTTTTATATTCTGAAGGTCGAGTGATTCTAACTTGTTCCCATTCATCATCAGTTTTGGATTGTAGTCGCTAATTACACATGTTAATGTCAAAAATGATAACCTGATGCATAACTTACAAAATATTCTTCTTGTAAACTCAATGTACGTCTGTTTTTATCCATACCTAATGCTTCCTCTTTCTCTACCTACATTAAAAGTGTTGGCTTACTGTCATGTATAGAATTAGCTGGTATATACCTTTCGATGCTTTCGATCTCTGTGATCAAACTTTGTTTGGGTCAATTGAGACAGGCCAAAGGAACCAGCTACCATAATGGTCAAAAATGGTAAGCCGAAATAAAGAAAGGGTCTCTTCCTTGCTTGTGTAGCCAATGCATCAAATGCGCTTGTTTGTCCATAAGGCTTATTTTCGAATTTCACCATTTGAAATTTTTATTAAATAAAAGTGCAGTCAGTAAGCCATGGTCCACGGACGTATCCCAGGTCCGTTCTCCACACAGAGAGAAAGTCCGACATCAACCTTTCAAAATGTGTCGAACCATGGCATAATTTATTTATAGCATCTTCTTTTTTTTTCTTGAGAACGAAGGATGGTCTTTGTTTGTAATCAGTTTGTATACAATCCAGATTTCATATATTAATTGCTGCATTGATGTCTGAATTGTTCTATGGATATTCTCGTTCAGAAAAATTGAATCAACAAAAGCGCTTGTTTCCCAGAACCGTTAAAAGGTTTAACAGTAAAGAGGATAGCGTAGCTTCTTTCTTGATGTTATATCCAAAATCTCACGCTTTCTGAATCAATAATATCTTTTTTTTGAAAAATTATTGATAATACTGCTCACCGTATGATAGTTAATCCTTAAATTAAAAGACACAGTACCAACATAAGTATCACTTTCGACATCTTCGTCAACCTTGTAAAAGAGTGTAAATTAGTATCAAAGTGTTAAGAAACCACAGCAAAAGTGCTTTCATTAGAAACTACCTTATCCATTTCGTCCTCGCTTATACCTAATAATGCTATGACTCCCTTCCAATACATGTGTTTTTCAATGTGTTCTTCAATCCAAGCACGTATCTCATTATCAAGTCTTGACGTAGCAATATTTTCTACTTCCCATGGAATGTGATTACTATAAAAACTCTCTATGAGAATTAATAATATACGAAGGCGGTATATGTATGGCTCATTTAATAGATGATTCAGAAGATGAAGCGATAGAGGTAGTCAACAATTTCGTGATTGCTGAACTTTCTAGGATCTGGTGATCTTCTGAGCCATGGTAGCTGAGCTTTAATCACGACAAAAGGTATGCAAAGAATACTGTCAAAGCAGACAATAAACAAGTAGGAAACATAGAGCGTATGCCTTACTACTTGCAATAATTCATATTACAAAGCGCTTCATTTATATATCCAGTGTGGAAGAGGATATCTTTTTCATTCCCGTCTTTGATAAACATCATCTCATAACCAAGCAGTAGTGTCCTCTTTCATTGCTGATTAATCATCTACTTCTTCCGTGCTACTTGTTTATAATAACCGGAAGATAATGATCGGCAGTTACTACTGTTTACAGTGCATGAAAACAAAGCGCGGTTCGGAAGAGTATTCAAAAGCGGAGACAGCGGTCTACGACCGCCGAAACATGATATAAAAACTGAGTCGATCCGTGTGTGTAACAGATCTTGAATGATTAATGCCAATTAATTTGTTTGAGATTGTCTAAAATTATAAAATGAAAACCCGACCACTATTTTCAAACAGATAGCCTATTTTGGTAGTGCTTAAAAAAGTGCCATGCTAATTTACGTAGATCCTCTCTCTAGCTCTCTTTTTCTTTCTTTCTTTCTTTCTTTAAATACAAAATGGCAATAAAGCCAACACTAAGGAAATATGCTCCTATTTTAATCGCATCATTATTTACTTTATTCATACCAACTGTATTGTATTCATTACATCAAAAACAAATGTTGTCACCTCAGCAAACTATCAGGCAAAGAGCATATTCATACCCTTCCATGGTCAAATACAGTTATTACTGGCCAAATACGAAAAAAGAGACAAAAGAAAGAGTAGATAAAGACGAGTTGAAGAGGATTGACCAAGCTTATTGTGGAAGAGATAGATGCAAGTTTCTATTACCTATTGTCATAACTGAGCAAGGTATACACACATGAGTGACCACAATAGATGGAAACTAAATGTTATCTATATAGAGTCAAAGGCCCAAATGCATTTCAGACAATTAGCCTTTTTGGCAGGAAAGATTGGTCGCACGATAGTTTTGCCCAACGTATACAACTCCCATCTTGGCGCTTGTCTACCTTATCCCTTTGACCTTTATTACGACCAAGAGGCATGGGCAAAGGAAAACAAACGATTTTTTAATTATATAACAATGGACGATTTCAAGGCATGGATAAGCGAACGACAAGCAGTGGGTGTTGACCCTACAGCACAAGAAATCTTTGTACAAGGCACCCAAAAATCAAAACTTCTCGCCAAATTCAAAAACTGTTTTCGCTCCTCATTTGACTTTTCTGACCGACCTATAGCCAACTATCAACTTTTGGACATCTCTCATCCTACACGGAAAGACGGCAACATCACACAGACCATGATGAGTCTGCTCAGCGATGAAGCTCGTGAGCATGAATATCTCGGAAATTCGGACAAGCCCGTAGATGTTATCAACCTGTTTTATGACAGAAGGCAAGTACTGTTTTCTCTCCTTTTTTTTTGTTTTCAAAAAAAAAAAAAAAGCCCAGTCTAACAGGAGTACTTTCCCTTTTTTTTTTTCCTTAATATAGATTCAAGTTTATCGAGAACCCAGAAGCACAAAAACCCGTGCCATACAGCCCAGCCCTAGTGAAAATGGCAGATGATATCTCATCGCAATTAAGGCCATATATGGCAATTCACTGGCGAATGGAGAGACTAGAACCAGTGTCGAATCTACTGCCTTGTGCAAAAGATTTAATCGAAAAGATACATGAAATAGACCCTTCGGTTCATAGACATCCCAACGTATTCTTATTGACAGATTATCCCCATTTGCTCAACACAACCGGCGCCAGACCAGAATCGTCCTCATTCACTCGTAACCAGCTGAAACCGGAACATCATGAAGCAATTAGATACCTCTATCAGCACCTCAATATCACTCTAACGTCAACTAACAATCTTCCTATCCCCTATGACGAGCTTCCTGAACAAAACTGGAACATTCTCACGATTTCTACTGGAAAATACAAGGATCGAAGTGTTCTTGGCATTATCGATAAACTGGTGGCTATTAAAGCTCAGTGGTTCTTTGCTGGTAAACCAGGCGTGTGCGCAAAAACAAGTAGCTTTACTGGCCGTATCTCGCTTAGTCGGCTAAACGCATTCAGGCATGGGGATAAAAATATTGTTGTGCCACTCCAAACATTCAATCTACCTCAGGGCAACCTATGAGTTATTTATCCATTTTTAGATATTTTTTTGTGTGTGCATTGAAAGATGTTACACTGTGTATAGATTACATAACATGATTTTATAAGTACATAGTACAGTCAAACCTATGGAATTTGGCAAAAAACCAAAAATAAGTGGCGGAATCAGAAAAATATATTACTGCGCTCATTTGGACCATCAATAAAATACCATGTTTGAACAAAATAAATGATAAGTTTAAATTGTTTTTGTCATTTTGGTTAAAACAATTGGCGGAAAGACTGTGTCTAATTGTCGTATATCTTCTGCATCTGTTTTTGTCCCTCTCTCTTCCTGGTATAAATACAACATAATGATGAATACTTTTTTTATGAAGATGGACAAGAAAAGACTTTAATGAAGAAGGAGAAAAAGTTTGCGATCCGATGTAGGATGTTTTAACACGTCGAAGATCCCAACATAGTTCTTGAAACAATAACTAGTCGACAAACTTATTTGAGCGTTAAGCGCTCCGAAAAAAATTGCTGAAGAGCCCTCAGTTAAAAAGCAACCGAAACCTAGTAAGCTGAAGCCATCAATGAAGTTATAGAACAACTATAGCGACTTCACCAGAGAAACATTTATAGACTATATACTCGAAAATCCTCAAGCGCGTGGACTAGTGGCCAAGGTTGCAAGAGGCTTAAATATTAATCATCACACTGCGTAAAGATGGTGGAAATATTATGAAGGAACAGAAGAGGTTGCGTATAAAAATTTTGAACAACAGTGGTCCGAAAAGCTCATTTACAACCGAGCATAACGAGTATATAAAAGGACTACTTGATAATGGCCCCCAGTTATATTCAGACGACATAATAAATGGTTTGACTGAGCGATTTGAAGACCTTTTACTATATCAAAGTCGCAACTTAATAGCCATTTACGAAACACAATGCTCATCACTGTGAAAAAACTGATGTTTGAACTTGAAGTCAGAAACTCAGTGGGAAGCCTACAGACGAGGTTGGAGTGGTTTATGGAATAGAAAGGTTCTGATCTGGATTTTGCATTGATGGAGCTGGGTTTCATATTAATATGAGAAATAGTTGGGCTAGGTCAAAAAGTGGCAGCTCTGCTATAGTAAAACAACCAAAAACTAGAGTGTAATCTCATATCATTATTGGGACTATTCACTCATCTAGCTCAGATGCGCGATAAACTTTGATGATATATCTGACCAGTATGGCGGCCTTCAATGCTTATCGATCTGGACACTCTTCCTGAACCACAATCTGTTGCGATGGAAGAAGTAATAGAAAGCCTTGTTGAAGACTTTAAAAAAAGGCTACCATCATTAAACCTAAAAAATATAATTACGGGCAAAGCGAGTACTTTAATCGAGTAATTTAAGAAGATGGGCTAGCAGTGCTAAAAGTAGCAGAACAGTATGGTATACTTCGCAGCTCTGCTTAGTACATATAGCAGCATTTTGCTTTAATACCAAGCACCTCTACAAAATCAGTATCATAGCACTTTTTTATAACAAGAAAATACTTTAATTGATTGATATTGGTCAATGAAACTAGATAACTTCGACCTCAAAAAGGGATATTAACATCTAGATGTTTAAGTTGTTTAGAAATACTTGTATAGTTGGTCGTTTACCTTTGTATTAGTAAGATAATATTCAAAGAGGTGTCTTGCAGTAATTGCGCTACTTTTATAGTGTTAAACATGTATCCATCAGATCACT